TACGTGGTTACGCGGGTGGGAAGGAGGTGCAGTGAAAAGGCGGGGGGGTTGCATTCAATGGAAGGATGCATTGATATACTGTACCAGAATGTACCAGACACATTTGGGGGCTGAGCGAAGAAATGTGAAGCATAACAATACATGTGGGGGGCTTTGTGGTGGATGAGCACTGAGACTCTAATATAGGAGACAGGCACCAAACCGTACCAAACCTTTAAAATTCAAGTAATTTAGAGTATATACAATTTTACAGCATTTACATGTCATGTTTCAGTCGTTCAGTTGAATTGCTCGCCAAGAGTTCCGTGTCCTTTTTTCGTCATAGTTGGAGTGGTTCTTGCTTGAGGTAGAACCCTGCAACATCCACTCGGACACCAAACCATGCAGGTGTCGATTCAATAGCTATCCTCCTGCCCAAGCTCACCTTTGCACTAGAGACGCCTTCTACGCCTTCGTGGCTTCTTCAACCGTCCTTTGGTCCTGTCGTCGCCTTCGTCGACAGGAAGAGGAGGAAGACCATCGGATCCGTGAGCTGCGGGTGGCGTTGCTCTCCAACTTGGCCTTGGCCTCCTCGCGGCAGAAGAAGTTCCGCCCTGCAGTGAACTTTTGCGAGGCGGATGTGTATGGCGTATTAGGTGACGTATATATGTGTTTGTGTGTAGGGGGAGGTGAGGGAGAAGGAACGTGAGAGGGTTAATATGGATTTGTAATCTTTTATTGTTAGAAATGGGTCAGCAGAATAAATACAGTTGTTGAATGTTGTCACATGTGGTTGCAGAGTTCGACTGCCCAAGAATGTGGGAATGCAGGCCTCTTTGGGGTGCATTTCCCGGTTGTGAGATAGAGAGCGAACAACGGCCTCCTACCATATAGATAAAGACCATGTCCAAAAAGACTGAACAGAAACCATGCATGCCCTCCTCAATCTCCATGTTATGGGCGCACCATATCAACTGGCGTGTTGCCCAGCTGACCAAACGAAAGCGCTGTGGACCACCATCCTTCTCAGATCCGTTCGTGTCCAGCTCGGACGCTCGGACATGGCGGCAGGAGGTGTTGCTGGAAGAGCCGGGCAATGTGAAAGCGCTGTATCGGAAAGCAGATGCTCGGGTTCAGGGAAGAGTCCTACAAGTGACTGAGTGACTAGTTATTTATAATTAATAGTCCAGAGAGGGGACATGCCAGGAGTGAATGAGAGAATTGCTTGATGAATTGAAAGGCGTGTTTGTCACTATTCCTCTGTTGTTTTCAGAGGGATGCCCACCGTGCCGTGGGATGCATGTATACAACTCGCTCCCATCACCCCCTCACCTGGGGGGCTCAGGATGCCTTGGGGGAGCTGTGCGATTGGCATGAAGCTGAAGAGGCTGCTGACCAGCTGCAGCAGAAGGGCGGGGAGGAGGGCGCTAAGTTGGCCCAGCAGAAGAGGGACGAGTGGAGCCTCAGCACGTGGGACGAGCGGGTGGAAGGTCCGGTGGTGAGCATCAGCAGTGGGCAAGTCTGGAAGAAATCACGAATCACCTGAAATGACCCAAAGTAATTAATGTTGCAATTTGCCAAGGAATTGGGAGGTGTAATCAAAAGTCCAGGTTCAGCAGTCTCTCCCCTTTTGAACCCGGAATCTTTGTAGTTGAAAGTAAATCTGGGCATCTCGCAGCTGTTTTGAAGTATGTTTTGATTTATTCATTGTGGGTTTCTACGAATAGCGTCGAGGTTTGGTCATTGGCCACTTAAGTTGTGACATCAGATCGCTTCTCGGAGAAGGATTTTGGCGTTCCGCCAGAGCGCCTACAGACATTGGGTTGGTTTTAGCGGTGAATGATGGTCAATGTAGGTAACCATGCCAGTCCCATGGATGGTGTGGATTGGGTTTCTCAAATGACCCCCGGTGTATTGGAACACCCAGACCTGTTGGGCAGAGCTTGACCTAAGGAAACGCCGGCAGCGCCAAGCTGATGACCAACAGAAGAAGATGTGGTCGGCTGCTTTGGAGAAGGACTGTTTCTGCTTGGCCCTTACGAGTTGCATTGAACTGAGAAGAGGGACGTGGGATGATATTGATATGTATGGCCAATTGCTAATTACTAGCTATTATATATAGCTACTATAAGGTGTTGGGAGTGTAGCCGAGCTCCAATGTTTTAATGTTATTTTAAAATTTGGGAGGTGAACATTCGGGTCGTTAAAGAGGAGATCACACTTGACAATCCCCTCCTTGCGCTCGAAGGAGAAAGCTGCCGAGAAGGCGGAGAAGGCCGAGAAGGCGGAAAAAGCTGAAGCAGATGCCAAGGCCAAGCCGAAGGAGGCGACGCCTGAAGAATCCTTTGGATGAAAGGAATCGTTCTTCAAGTCAAACGTGTTGAACGATTTAACATGATTTAACTAATCCTGTACCAAATGGTTTTGCCATGCTTTGCCTATGTTGGAAAGGGTTCCCTTGTTCACCAGCACAGCCAGAATATGCTGGAATCGCTCCAGGAGGTATTGTTTGTATGGAAGACGTTGGAGAAGAGGCTAAATCAAAACCTCCGAAATCCTGGCTGACATCCGACAGACATGTTCTCACCAGCTTCCAAGCTCAAGCCTATTTCCCCAGGGATCCCCAGGGCAAACATGTTTGTTGCGGAAGGCATGCCAAAACTGCGGCGCTGGCAATCAAACTTTTGGGGTGCCAAAATCCAAAAACAAGTTTGGAGCACCGGAGCACCCAACTTTTGGTGTTTCTCGAGGCGAAGCCCAAAGTGGCACTGGAAGCCTGGATGCCCTCAAAGGCACGCCGCAGGGCCAGGATTGGGTATATGAGTGCGCTCTCACTGGTGCAAGCAGGAAAGGAAGGAACGCAACACAATTTTTCGGTAGATTTCTCGGCTGATGTGGAGGTTTTTTGTTGAACACGTTGAACTGCTCAAAGTGTTTGGGCTATGCTATACCCAGCAGTTCAGGTGGAGGCTATGAGCCCATTTGACCTGCGGAAGAAGATGATCGAGTGGCAGGAGGAAGATGACTTCAGCGACAAGATCTGGAAAGAGCAGCTTGGTGAGGGACGTGCGGCAGGGAGAGATGGTGAGACATGCGGATTGCACATGCACGCTGCGCTACGGATTGCATGCATATACTACTGTATATATAGACCTATATAGTGTGTATGCATACATGTTTAAGGTTCTATGCAAGGCCATGACCGGATGTCGCTAGCTTTGGCACATGTCCCTTCCTTCAGAGTGTTGGTGCTGGGCTCAGCAGCGGGACTTCTGCACATGCACCAGGGACAAAACAACTCTTCCAGACTGTCCATGTAAGGTCCCTAGGCCGCAAGGAGGCGAGCTTCTACCAGAAGCGCGCCTTGCCCTTGTCCCTGCTGGCGGGCTGCGCGCTCGCGGAGATGGAGCTGCCGAAGCTCTCGGACCTGGTGGTGCATTGCATTCTGGATGCTCGGATGGCGGCTTCAGACTGGTCGGATGGTGGCTTCAGACTGTGCTGAAGGTTTCAGACAAAGTGAAGCATGAGTCACAGATATTCGGAGAGTGTGTGAATGGTAAGTCGTCCATCAAAGTAACAGTGATTTAGATTGATTTTAGCCACTTAGGGTCCTGCAGTGGGGGCAGTCAAGATAAGTCCTTGTTGAACATGAAGTTGACGACTTTTTCTCGACCGGTCTCAGGATGGCAACTTGGCGCCCTTCTCCGACCCTCACGACACTTGGTTTAAGCCGAACGCCCTCATGGGTCCTCATCGATCGTGATCTGCTGATTTGTCACTGTTGAGGGGGAGAACATGTGAAACTCCATAAGACGTGGTCTCTGATCCCAAGACAAGTACGTCTCCCACTGCGAGTGCGGTCTTTTTGAGTTCACTCAGCAAAAAGGATTTTAGATATGGAAATGTGTATGTAGTTGCATTCCCCATATGAGCATCCGACAACACTTTTGTATACATTTGTACTTTAGTCATGAGCCGCCTGAAGTATTTTTGAATTAATCCTTCCGCCTTGCAAAACCGGGGCCAACCAGTGGGCCAACCCAAACGAACGATACCAATTCTTGATTGAAAGAGGCACATGAGGCCAGTCCATTCAACACTGGAAGCCCTTAGGGGTCAACCCACTTCTGGCATTGGGGACACCAAGAAGTTTTGTCCGCCACTCATATGAATTTTTCACAACTCTTAGAGTCTTAGAGGTTTTTGGTATTTGGTTGCTCAGGACTGGAGCATATTTCTGAAACGATGTCCTGAAGTGCGCAGCATGCTGGTGATCTATATCGACATCGGTGCGGTGGCCCTGGACAAGGAGAACTGAATCATGGACCATGGGGGGATGGAGTGGAACTTTTGACCAAAAGCTGCAGACTCACCAGCACCAACGGCAGGACGGCAGACCACCGCCCACCTACGGCATGCTGCTGCCTCCCTCGGAGGAGGGTCGTTGCGGCGACCGGGTGGCCCGGGCTGCACGCTTCATGGGCACCTACCAGGAGCGCCGGGCCGCCCTGGTGGGGCGGTGAGGCGGTAGATGGCCATGGCATGCCATGGCTGTCATGCCGTAATGCATATATGATGTTTTTATATGTTTTTTGCATATCTCTAAACCTCTGGTAAGAGGAGAGGTTGACTAATGACCGAAGCGGACTAACTACAATGCTGTGCACCTGTGTTTTGTTTGTTGAGCCATAGTTGGTGACCCAGGCAAGTGTTACGTATTGTGTGTCTTCTTTTTTGGGGGGGTTAGGGGGGTTCAACCTTGCAGTGGCCTGCTGACTAGACTTCTCAAATTCCCAGCCGTACGCACTGGCCGCGCACCGCCATAGAATTAGGTCTAGTGACTCTTTGGCCTGTGACTGCGGAGTCAAAGTTTACCATAAAATACATTAGTAAGGTATGAAAGGGTCCAAGACCATCCTGAGGATGCCCCGTAGACACAGAGACCATTGTGTGAAAGTACTTTCGCACCTGGGCCCCTTTTTGACAGTCAGGGAGACATTTTGAGACCATTTGGTGAACTGGTTCTGCAACGAATGATCACCTCTTTCTGGGTCGTTGAGGTTGAACATGTTCAGCTGGAACGATTGCGTAGGCCCTCAAAAGCTTCATTTCGAGGCTGCGCACAGCGGTTTGGGCACTTCAGCCTTTATACCTAACAAGGTGTTCTTTGGCCCGCGTGGCCCCTGAGAACTTAGAAGTGCAAACCCACCTGGCACATCCTGGCAGGAGTTCAAGAAGCATTGCCGTGATCTACCCGGCCTTGTCCGTCCACACGTGGCCTTGTGGGCAGATGTACCCCTCTACGGTTTTCATGATGAAGACTTCAGCATTCGATTGCAGGCCTTATCGCAGCTGCGGGAGGATACTCGAAGTCATGAAATTCTGAGTTAGCTGGGTTCACAAATCAACAGCTTGCCCCCCAGCTGCTCCAGCTGCGCTTCAGATGTTCACGGGGCTTATAGTATTCAGGGTATGGTGTAGTCGTTGCGTTTTGGGGTTGCAACCCAAAGTAAAAGGGAATGTATGGAAAGGTGTACTGTATGTGTTTTGGACAGGGAAGGTCCAGGGAATTTGAAGGTCAAGGGAATTTGAAGTCCGATGGCAGTGAGTCACAGCCTCCTCAGCCTCCGCTCAATCCTGTGTCGTATTGCCTTTTTGAGGTCCTCAAAAACGTCCAACCCTCTTGAGGTTGGCCTGCACAAATCAGTCACCATGCAGGACCCTGCACAAGACGCAGGGGCTTTGACCCCTGTCTCAAACCTATAACATTAAAACATCCACGCCCTTCTTCTCTTTTTCATTGTCGTACTTCCACCAGGTGCTCCCTGATAATATACAGTATGTTGAATTCGATGTATTTAGCCCAAAAATGCGCAAAAGACTTCCTCTTTTTCGGTCATCCTGAGGAGGGCATCAGCATGGTCTTCACCTTTGGCCACGAGGTGCCCGGCCTGCCTGGTGGCCCGGCGCTCAAGCTCGAGGACGTGGCCAAGGAGTCCATGGCCATCCTGGCGCTCTCTGGGCTGCTCGGGATTCTCACTTGAACAAGCTTTTCAAAGCCCTTCAACTGCTTAAGATCGATCCATTCTCGATCCAAAAGCATACCCTCCATCCAAAAATTATGCAAGCTGACCAAGAAGCCCCCTTGCAGAGGAAAATGGTCTTCCAGAGGCCTAAGTTCCACTTCTATGGTTATTTCAGGGAGTATACCTTAGCTCGGCGCTCCCCACTGGACCCGATGCAGAGCGGCCGGTCGGCCGGAACGCTCGCTCGCTTCCCGAGGCTGGGACTTCGGAAGCTCACTGCCTGGCATTGGAACCGCTTCGTGGTGCCATTGGATCCTTTGTACACGGTTAGGTGTTTTTGTTGGCAAGGCATTTGTTGTTACTGTCGGGTTTAGGGGAAGATTGAGCTAGGTCCAAGATGCTCAAAGCATGTCTCAACATCTCACCAAACACCATGCGATGGGCCTGTGGAACGTGTTGGAAGTATAGTTTGCTCATGTGTCCGAACTCAAATTCTTGGGTGAACTGACCAAGATGCAGCCAGATTGATCGACGCAGAGGGGAGAGACGTCGATTTTGTCTATGAATTTGTTGCACAAAAATGTGATAGTTGTTTCCTTTATTATGTTCTTGGTGTTAAAATGTGTTACAATCAGAAAGGTTTGCTACAATCAATGAATGTAAGAGAGAAACACTCAAGAGAATAACAATTACATATAGATAATTATAGAGTAATATAGAGTTGCTGCACCCCCTTAGGAAAAGATTGAAAGGCAAGAAGAGCACACATCAACCACAAGTTCGACAGACAATAAGGATCAGGAACTTATACACAAGAGTCACAAGTCCCTCAAGCCCGCATAAAACGACAACAGGGTCACGAGTTGGTTGGTCTTCAAGCAGGTGAACTTCACAATTATCCTCAGGGTGCCGGCAACCTCCAGCCACCATACTTAAATGTTCCACTTCATGTTGCCTTTACTACCTTCTGAAAGCCATTGAAACCGGAAACCGTCCACTTGACAAGTCAGGATATATAATATGAATAATAATAATATGTTAAACAGCCTTTGCTGGCATTTTTGTCGATCAACTGAGGACCGCGGGCCTCATGGGTTCCTTGAAATGAACTAGCATGGTTTTGAGGCCTTAATGACTTTGCGCTGTCTACGTGTTTTTTTCTCTATGTTTCAATCATTGGCGCATGATCTGCGTTGCTTCAGGTTGCTCCTTGTGCTATGTTTGGAGGAATCTGCAGCCATTGACCATTCCTTCACCATTCCTTCGGGGAGCGGCAGTTTTCCCCACATCCCGAAAGAACATGGGAAAACGATGGAAAATAGATTGGGAGATATTGGATGCGCTCAGTTTAGACAATCAATTATGAAATCCAAGAATTGGCGCCTGGTAGAGCCTGGTACTTAGAGGAAGAGATCATTTAGATTCATTTAGTCCAATACACCGAAAGAGAGAGAGAGAGAGGGGGGGCAAACAGAGAGTTTTGCAAGTGTTTCACTCTTGCATTTACCACCATGTGACATGTGGTTTACATCCTACTACTGCTGATGGAAGAATTGTTGATGCCCCCCTTCCACACTTATAGTATTTTCAGCCAACACGTTCACATCCCCGAATCCTGCTGTAACTATGTTTGAGGAAAACGTTCAACCAAAGGTCCTTGAATTTCTGGGAGGGGATGTCATTCCAGCCCCCTGTCAGACACATATGAACCTGACTTCACTTCTTTAGTCTTCGGGTCCTTCACAAGAACTGCGACTGGGTCCGTTCCGTTCGGCCGATCCCGTTGGGGAATTTGATCCGGAGGATCTTAGCCGGGCACGCCTTGCTGAGCGTTTGGAAGCCTGGCAAGACTGCTGAAGGAAGCGCCGCTCCGACGGTGTCCGTCGTGAAGGAGGCGCTGAAGCGTCGCGGTCGGGGGACCCAAGCATACCAGTCAGTTGGTGGTGCTTCAAGCCATACATGATGGGAGACATGTTAATACCTGGGGCAATGGCCAGCGGCAGAAGCTGCGGGACCGGGGATGTGAGTAAGGTGTCGAATTCGTATGATGAAAATGGTTCAGATTTGTCAAATGTTTTATTTCCCTGTACTTATCCATATAGATAGCCCTGGAGATTCCCGTAGCAAAGAAGCAAAGCCCCAGCACTGAAATAATCAGAAAGTACCATGCATGAGCATTCAACAACTAGTTTTACATCTTCATGATGAAATGGATCCTCGGTTTAATCAACATGTCCTACTAGCACTTGGAGTGACACGCGATAATCCGATAGGTGCACTGCCCATGGTCCGGTGCTTCCTCCAGCTCCCCCCCCTTTGCGCTGCGGGAGGTCGCTCTGACCGCCTGAGGTGTCGCCCTGACCGCTGTGAAGCCTCCGGGACCTCCCAAGCAGTTCGACCAAAAGTTCGTGGAGATGCGAGACAAGCAGTGGCAGGTGCCTTGCCTGGGGCCTTGCCCATAGCCGATAGGGGTTGCCACCCACCATGGACCAAGCTCGCGGCTAGCTGTACAGTTCCATTAAGGGATCCAAAGGGTAGGTTGGTGAGCGAGTTAGTGACCGACCAAAATTTCAGGACTTGCTTGCTTAGAGGTCCCAACTGATGAAAGAGGTATATTTGCAACATGTTGCGCCACATGTTTCAATGTTATGTGGGATCGCCACACCGGGTCGCCCCAATGTGTTTGCTTCGGGCTTCAGGTAAGCTTTTGATAAAATCTAGTCAAGTCGCCAACACCAGTACCAGTGTAGCCACGCCTTTTGTCCAAACTACCTCCAAAAGGATGAGAACAGCAAACCCATTAGCCAGCAAAACATTGGGAGTTTACTCTACCAGCTCCAGGGTTTCGATGCGCCTCAATGCCTTTCGATGCGTAGTTTCACGTGCCAGGCATTTTGCCAACACCTTCAGATGCAAGGAAGGGTTCCAGCGGGTCCTGGGGCCAATGAAGAGGAAAAGCGCCGACAAATGATCGAATGGCGTCAGTTCGTCGGAGGTGAGTGAGTGAAGTGGCCCAAGCGTGCGGCCTGCCAAAACGTGCTTGGAAGCCGAGGAGTGGCAGGTCTCAAGGTGTGAGGGCTAGAGTTGGTACCAGCTCGGTCAAATCTATCGCCAGCTTGGTGAGTAGCTATATTGGTGAAGCCGCCCCTCCGCCTTTGGCACGAACTTGCTAAGCCGAAGCCAACTTAGTGCTGCCAGGGGGGAGAGGTGGTGTCACTGCGACCCACAGGTCGCAGAAGCGCAGCCGAGGAAGAAAAGAAGAGTCCAGGGTCGCTGCGGCTCGAGGTTTGGGCGACTTACTCGGCCGGGTGATTCGGTGTTTCGACTCTGCCGTCCATTCTGGGAGTCAAAACGTCTAGTCGCAAGGAAAGGAGCGGCGCGAGGTGGGATCCAATCCACCGTTTTTCTGACTCGCAACGTCTCACAACCAACTTTGAGCCAACATGTCCTAGCAAGTGAACTGTTCAGTTTTTCAGTTTGTTTTTGCAATTTTCACTATATACATAGTTGGGATCATAAAGTGGCCCACAGATGCAGGATCTCTACTATGACTCGCTCCACCGATTTGAGGTTTGTTCGCAGGGAACTGGACGAAGCGCAAGGAGAATCAAGCAGCCAAATGTTGGCTCCAAGCTTTAGAATTGTTATGGCTTGCCTCCGCTGCTCCATGCTGCTTCCTGCCTCCTTTTGGCCTTGCTGGCCGAGAGGAAGGAGCTTGAAACAGCATTTAAAGCTTATGGATCCCGAACATAGCGGTCTCAAAATGGTCAAAAGGATGTTCACTATGGCATAGTGACTCTCTAGATAGGTTGAATTCATTCGGTTTGAAGGCCCCCAGTGAATGGGGGCCACCCTGCACCTGTTTGAGGTTTAGCACCCTTTTGCATCAGGGTATGCCGGAGTGTTTGTTTCCCAAGCTGCCGAGACCTTTCGCCAAAAGTCATGCTGTGACTGTGACACCTTTCGTGACTGTGATGATGTCTATCCTGGAAGATATTTGAAGTTCAGAAATCTCCACACCACCTGGCTTTGTGGCAGGAATTCAAGAAGCATTTCTATGACCGACCTGGCCTACTACCTGGTCTTGTTCATCCACATGTCACCTTGTGGGCAGATGTTCCCCTCTACGGCTTTCATGATGAAGACTTCGACATTGAATTGAGGGCCTTGTCGTACCCACGCCAGGATGCTCGACGTCAAGCGTTTTTTCATTATCCTCAGTACTTCAATTTACATGCTGGCAGTCCTCTCACAGGTGCTAAGAGAAATTGTATGAAATTGTTATCCTCCAAACCCTCCAGAGGTTATTTGGGTGCCTACCTGTTTTATTTTGGTATATTTTGGTTGTATACTCGTAAGTGAGTTCCCATGGGTCACTTGTGAAAGTTTCATCCTGATTGAAGTGAAAGCCTTGGAACCTGGGACAGTGCTTCCGCTAATTCGACAGCATCCACCCAAATCCTACTCAGTGATCAGCACTCAGTGCGCTCAGAACCCTGCACTCAATTTGAACGACGTTATCATCGTTATCCCATGGTAACCCCGCCACTTATTAGATTGCTAATTAAGATTCACAAAAGAGTCTCTTGCGCCCCAAGGACGGCATCATGGTCTCCTGTTGCACCCACGAGGTGCCCAGCCGACCCGGTGGCCCACAGATGTGGCCGCTCGGAGGACGAAGGTAACTCCCCTTGCCCTGGGAGTTGCAACGAGCAGTCGACGGGGTTCTTGGAACAAATGCACGATTTCAAAGGCCAAAATGCAAAATCGTTGGAAAGAGTTGGGTGTTGTCAGGGTCATTTACAACTTGTGCAGGTTCAGACAAGGTCAGATGTTCCCCTCTACGGCTTTCAAGCCGAAGACTTCAGCACATCATAAAGATCTGAAACAGAAATGCAGGCCTTGAGACAGCGCCTCCTCTCAATCTTATCATGAACGCCATTCAGCGATTTGATAGTTAGACTCTACTTGTACCGTTACCTTTTGATCGCATCCCAACTGCATCCGCAAACCACTCAGCCCTCATAATCCCAAGATTCTGTGGCTTAGACTCCTACCTCATTCCATCTCAAACTGTGTTCCGCGGAGGGACCAACAAAGACTCACAGAAGGTGATGTTGTGTCCAAACGAGGACTGCAGTGACCCAGTCTCATAAAGTAGAACACACTCACACTTAAGTTGAACAACATCAGTTTTGCGTTTGGATCTCCATCTCATCCAAATCCCACCAGGTACTCCAGCATGGCATCATGGTTATCACCTGTTGCATCCACGAGGTGCCCGGCCTACGGGGTGATACCCGGTGGCCGCACCGAAAGCTCCAAGACCTGCCCGCTCGGAGAAGAGTCCGCTAGGCCATCCTGGCGATCTCTACGGGGCCGCTCGGCTGAGAGCAGTCGGCGCGATGTTCTTGGAACAGCTCTGGAGGTCAGACTTTTTCCCAGAGGTCATGGCCAAGCAGATGCAAAATCGATGGAACGAGGCGGAGATCACTTTCTTCATGGCTGGGATTTACGACTTGTGCAGGTTCAGCCAGGTCAATCGGAAGTTTGCCAACAGTTCTTAAAACATCAAAAAACAATGAAACGACATTAGTCAGTCCCATTCAGAAGCCGTACATAACTCACTCCTTGACCATACCCACACATGGAACTCATCATCAACACAGAGGACATCGTGGGACTTGCGACAGCTTCCAAGCATTTCCGCGCATCTCCACGAGCCATGGAGACGATGAAGGGATGGATGGCACGAGCGCAGAACCTTCTGAACAAGGATCAGCAATTCATTCTGGGGATGATCTTCACCGCCTGCCTCAATTGGGCCGACTTTTTCTCTGATTGGTACGTCACCTTGCAGTACGGGTGTGTGATAAGACACGACTTGAGCACGAGCTGTGATGGGGTCGATCCACAGGCTGAGTGTGAGGTGCACGGCTGGTGGTTTGGCTTGAGTTTATTCCTATTGATCGGTTCGAACCTTGTCCAGAGTGCAATGTGGACATACATCACAGCAGTTGACGAGTTTGGATGGGTTGAGTCTTGCCTCAAACTCGCAGGAATATGGGTTCTCCTCTTTGTGGCCGGCTTGTGCCAACTCCACTATGTAGTGGACATTGTCCTTGCTCTCCGTGGAGGTGCCCCAACTGACGTCAAGATAGACCGCATTATCGCCCGAGAGTTGGCTACGAAAATCGGGGAGAGCGCCCCGCAGCTTTATCTCCAGTCCTACGTCCTTTTTGCTGTGGGGGGGCTCATGGCAGCCCCATGAAGATGTTCTCAGTGATCATTTCCATCCTGGCCTTGGCACACGGGATCATCAAGACGCTGCTCATGTTTGAAGATCGTGGAGTTGAGAAGACTTTGCCCCTGAAAGGTTTTGTGTACCGAGCAGTGGCAGCAATTTGGTTGGCCACAGACCAAGGCCTTCGATCGGCCGCCATAGCCTTGGTCCTTTCAGCGGAGGTGAGGCTCCATGGATCGATGCTGCTGGGATTTTTCATGCTTTTGGTTTGGGCCATGTTTGTGTGGACCAATGCGCGAGATCCAGATAGTGAGTTTGCAGTTAAAGGAGGCTGTCCAACAGTAGAAACATTCAGAGATGCGGTAAGGTTATTTGTACTAGGTGTTTGTTTTCTGCTGGTCAGCCTGCTGGGCAGCCTTTTTACCTGCTACGTGATCCCAGTCCTTTGGTTGCATGACCTGTTTGAGTGGTCGAAGCCGGCATTCGATCGAGTTGTTGTCATCCGCTGGGTGGAGATGGCGAGTTGTGCCGCACTAGCCTTGCTGCTTGCTAAGAATGTATGTGGCTACACTCCAGATCGGGAAGTGGGCGGCCTGATTGGCCTCCTGGCCTTCAACATGCTTTGCTATTGCTGCATGAGATGTTGCTTCCACAAGGATGGTAGATTGAAATGGTTGCCCTTTGAAGGTTGGACAGCTGAGGAGGCCAGCAAAGCCGATGTTTCCCGACACAGCAGCAGATCAACACTTGAAGACGATGGCTCCCGCACAATCCAAAGAGTAACACTTAAATCGCTTAAATCATATGAGGATGAAGAGGTTTTGCAGTCGGATGATGCAAACGTCCAAGCAAAGTGCAAAGAAGAGGTTGACAGCTCCAACTTGGACCTTCAAGATGCCAACCTGAAGGTAGACTCACTAGACCACGAAACCCTGCCGGTACAGGATGACACAGAGGGCGTGAATATCGTTTTACCGACTGGAGACATGGCCGAGGAGGCTGAGGGTGAGGCCAACTCCGAGATGAAGGTGTCCAAAGGGAAGAAAAAGGTCGGAAAGACCAAGAAGGTCGAAAAGACCAAAGAAGATGTGCCCAATGTGGCTGAAAGGGCCAGCCCAAGTGGTGAAACCATTGGGAAAGGCCAAGGTGATGAAGAAGCGGCTGAGAAACCACCCACTTCTCCCAAAGGGAAGGTGGCAAAGCCCAAGAGTAGGATGAAGAAAAGCAAGAAGGAGGTGACCCCAACTGCAGATGAGACTGCAATTGGAAGACACCAGGAGGATGGAGATGCGGAAGCAGATTGAACATGCTAAGGTCCGTCTTAGCACTGCCACCTTTAGGGTCAGGTGTTGCTGAATGCTTCAAGTGTGCTTCAAATGGTTTGAGGCCATAACAGGCAGAATCGCTGCAAAAAGCTCGGATTTCTGCTGAATGCTGGCTTTGTGGTTGTGCAGGAAGGCGAGGTGTGGGAAAGAAACTCTTCTATTTTGACAAGCTGGGTTTTATAATGTTCCATATTGACTGTTTGGCCTGTTTGGATGTCCAATTCAGACTGCGACATTTATCAATTAAATAGACTTATTGTTATAATAATGGTTGCTTCTTCCCCATGCTGAACCTTCGACCGTGGTGTCCAGACCTTCTGTTGATGGATGCATGCCCGACTCTCGATCAGAACAACCTAGAGTCTACCTAGAGCCTAGAATTCAGCCTACAGGGAAGATGAGCACCCTGCAGAATGAGACCAAGATGTTTCATTGAGCCCGAATTTGACCCAATCAGAGCAATCCTAAACCAAAGGAACCGGGCAAATTGGCCGAATGAACCGGACGCTGGAATGACCCAGCATGTTTGAAACAGACTCGCATCATCTCGCATCCAAGCCTGGGACTTTGGAAGCTCACTGCGTGGCATTGGAACCGCTTCGTTGTGCCATTGGATCCCTGGCAGCATTTGGTTGCGTGACATGTGTTGTTGCTGTGGAGTTGGGAGGAAGGAGTGACATGTCTCAACATGTCACCAAACCCAGCACTCGCCCCATTGGAGGTGGTTCAAAGGATGGTTTGTTCATGCTCCCCGACCCAAGTTCTTGGGTGAAGTGACGGAGGGCCAGCCAGATTGATGGAAGTAGAGCAGAAGAGACTCAGTTTTGCAGAGGAAAGGACTTCATTCAGCAACCATGTCACACCTGGAGGAATGCATTCCCTCGGACAAAACTCAGAGGCTAAGCGGCTAAGCATTGGTCCTTGGTAAAGGAGTAAGATTGTTTAGTTCAATAGACAACTGTATATATGTAGTTTTGCAAATGGTCCATGTTTCACTCTTGCATCTAATGACTGGTGCTATAGACATGACTGCTGATGGAAGAAACGTGCCTTTCGCCTGCGCTTTGTTTGGTGATTTTGAATCATTGGCTACAACCATAATTGTTTTGACAAGAACATTCAACCAACAGGTGATTCGATTGTTTAAATTTGTTTCATCCCAGCTTTCCGTCAGGCACTTGATCGAGTGGCGTCAGTTCGTAGGAGGTGAGTGAGTGAAGCGACCTTGTGCGGCCTGCCATTGTGTCTCTTTTCTTTGGATTGAGATCTAGAAGGCCAAAAGGTGCTTGGAAGCCGAGGATTGGCAGGTCTCAAGGTGTGAGGGCGGAAGTTTGTACCAGATTTGTCGATTTTATCACCAGCCTGTTGATGATTATTAAGCAGCCCTTCCACCTGGCACCAATTGCTAGCCCAAGCCGGCGGTCTAGTGGGAGTAGTCCAAGTTAAGCAGCGAGGAAGAAAAGAAGAGAATCGGTCGGCTTGGATCTGCGCTGGTTTTGGGCAGGTGGTTTTGCTGCAAGGATTTTCTAGGTCTATAGCTTCAAGCTATCGCAACCAGGCCAAGATTGAACCAACCTGGATTACATTTTAGGGTTGCAGACCGGCAAGTATCTCACAACATGTAACTATAGGTAGACTAGCAAATTGTTTTTTCCGTGTTTGATGCATTCTGTGCGCAGAATTTAATCTTTCCGGCAAGCATTGATAGCAGGACATAGACTCACCAATACAATCAGGAAGACAATCTGGAAAAATGCCCTTGGTGCCAGACATTGGTCCGCAGCACGGTCGACCGCAGCTCGGCATCAGTCAGGCCGATAGCTCGGAGACGCATTGCAGCATCTACTTGGGTCAACTGGATGAGCTCTTCCAGCAGATGCTCCATCAGGCGCCTCTTGCTCGGACGGGATTGACAGCTTGGAGGCTGATGTTTTGTTGGGTTGCGAAAGATGGTGAGCTTAAAGTCCGAAACTTGCGCGTATCAGTTTTGAGATGACCTCACATGTGTGGTTTTCCAATCTGTGTTCATTGCACGACATGAACTTGACTGATGAAGTAACACCTGCTGCATGAAACTTGGGAAGTGCAGCCCCTCCTTAGTACCAATTCAGCCCTCCCCCAACCAAAGTCCTGAGACTTGAGTTGGAAAATAGATGCATCAATGTGACTGAGCATGTTTGTTCCTTGCAACTGGTTGAAAGCTGATTTTCCTTTCGTTTCTTAAGGCACACAGCCAGGAGAGCTTGCCAGCTTGAACGGAACCACGTGGGGAAAAGACGGGTCGGTGGGGGCTTTGACTCGGTTGGTCGTGGTGACGAGCTGATGGTGCTTCTCCCAAGCACCTGAGCCGCGGCCTTCAGGCCGCCAGCATTTGCTTCTTGGGCCCGACCGAGCACCACGAGGCCGGATGGGCCGGGCTGGCTGGTGGGACGGCCCAGTGGGCCAGTCCGAAGGTAGCTTAAAGTCATTGCAAGTATCCAGTATCCGCCAGTAAAGCATCAGAATAGGTCAGAATGCATCTATCAGATCATTAACTTTATCTATGTGTTTGTTTTACAGGGGTCATGTAGCTGATGGGGAGGAACCTTTCGAATACCGCGGATAGTTTTAAGTTCAAGATGTGCTTGATCACCAGATGTTTGTAAGCATGTTCCTATGAGCAACGGACGGGCCTATAAGAGTTGTCGAGCTCCTGGCCCAGATACTGCTTCCAACAAGTACCTCATGATGTTCATAGGCATCAAGATGGGCATTCCCCCGGCACCTCTTGGAAGGTCCAGGTGCCACATCTTCATCCTACAGATATTGGAAAGCACCCCGACGCCCGCTGGTTTGTGCTGTTTGTAGCAGGAAATGACGGCCTCCCACACGGAGTTTTCCCTGGAGTTCTTGGTGAAGCAGAGGCGCTCGATCCAAGGTCATAGCGGCCGGAAGCTCAGGATGGCCGGGGGATGGGTAGGTGAAGAGAGGTGAGCAAGGCATGGCTACTGATTACTGCCAATATAGAGGTTCCAAGACAGGTCCATGTTCTTAATCTCTACCAAGCACAAGACTAGACAGATTAATGCCACATTTCTTGGGTTCCTTTGTTGCAATCCCCCCATTATACATTGTTTTGAAAAAGATATATATATATATGTATTCAACCATATTGTTTATGGAATATCAATTCATTTGAACATCCATGGACTTGGACCTTGCCTTTTTGAAGACAGACCCCCGGCCCAAGCCCAGTCTCCATGGACCCTTCGCACTCCTTGAGTCCCCCCTTTCTGAGGCGAGGTCTTTTGGAGCACCGACTGGGGTCGCTTGTTGGACGCCGCGCTGCGACAGGGCGACCCGGAGCGCTTCCAGCCCTTAGGCCGGTCCGGGCGCAGTCCGGAAACACGCATCAGTGCATTTGGCCAAGAGGTATTTGTCCGTGCCCTGTTCTCAAACTAAGAGGCTCAAGGGAGGTCAACCTCCACTAACTATGTAGACACTGGTTCGATGAGCCCAGAAATCTATAGCAGTTGTTGACCTCCAAATGCCAGCTCCTAGATTTGTCCTTCCCCAAGTATCCCAAGTCGAAGGAGCCTGGGTGATCTTCTACCAGGAGAAGGGAACCACTTGTGGCTGGGCTGCAGCGGAGCGGCGAGCTGAGAGGCCAGATGAGCACAAAAAAACGGACCTGTGGTTGTGCATGGGGCCTTGCGGGAATCGTTTGGGTGGACATCATCCCGTACATCAAGACAATGGCCACCACTGTGTGAACTCTGATTGTTGGGGAGGGTAAGGGATGAATGGGGATGATATCCTTGACCGTGTGCGAAAGGTTGTGGCCGTTGTCAGATGGCCTTTAAATTGCGGAATACTTTGGATAATAATTAATGTTCACGAGAGGTCATGCATTGTTTTGTGGCGATGAGTTTCTGCTCCCGTGGCTGCACAGTGAGTTTTGTCCTCGTTGATGCATTCATTGTGGTTTGCACATCCTCAGGTGGGGCAGTGTGAGCCAAATGGACCTTGAAATCACCTTTGAAAATGCCAACCTTACTAACTTCAGCGATCCTAGACATTGGCTTGGTGCCAGGGTGCCTTGCAGAATGCTCTACCACGGTGGTCAACAGTAGCCGCACTTGGGTGCAAGGACTTGGCGCTTTTGGTGCCAGCGCCCATCGACCAAGGCAAGATGTGCAGATACTACTCCCAGCCAGGGGCCTTGGCCTAGCTCCTATAGGGCCAGGGCATTGTTTCCTGATTCGTTTTCTCTCCAGGAGGTAGGAACGTGCCATTCTCCGCTTGAGTGTATCTAAGCTCGCTCCCACCATGATGCAGATACTGGGCTGTCCCCCCCAAACCAGGAACGCTGCTGAACAGCAAGCCCAGTGCATCGCTGTTCAGGACATGCCTCAGTGGTGGCGGATGGTGAATCTGTGGGCCACTGCTGTCCGGTCTAGCAGGCACCATGTTCTATGCACAGAAGGGCGTATTGACAGCATGTTCTGTGGATTGTAGAGCTGAACACCGCACCAACCTGATTCTCGAATTGCATTGAAACGTGTTCTGGGTTGCTTGTCAGGTTCCATGTTTGTCCTCGCGGAACTAGTTCAACAATAATGTCCACAGATCACCCCACCTACCAGCTGTCACGAAGTTGTGCCTATTGGAGGATAGAGGTCCCCATTATCCACTCACTTAGGGACCAAAAATCACCCCTTTGTGACTCTTGGCATGATCCACCAGTATATTGAGCACTCGATCAGCAAGCGCGCGAGCCATAGAAACAAACAACTACAAGATGCGTTCTGCATGGTTCTAAAAGACCTTCACAGCTGCCAAGTTCCTTCTGTTCGACCTTTCCGGTGACCTGCTACTGTCAACAGTATGACTCTTATTCACACCTACAACCAGGCCCCACCACCCACCTAACCAGTGGCCTCCTGTTGCAGGCCATTCCACCAGGTCCGTCCGCCCAGGCAATCGGCCGAAACGCGGCTGCGGCAGATTGCCAAGCCAGCCATCCTGCTGGGTCCGGCTCCAGCGCCTCGGAGTCCTACTGGTCGGAGGGCAGCAGATGCAGAAGTCTGGGAGTCCTCGGCTTTTGGGGAAGAGGAATGTCAAAAGACCCGCTGTTGATCCCCAAACCCTGCGGATTCGGTGCGTGAGGGTAAAGCACTTCACTACCCAATCCCATTACATCGAACAGGATCGAACGTGATCAAACAGTTGCGAAAAGGTTTCGTCATTCACATTCAATGGAATCTGAAGAAACCCAGCTGGGATGGACTCAGCAGTTTTGAGCCGTGAGCTAGAGCAGTTTGAGGCAAAATCCAAAGCATTTCATTCAAACCTTTTGCAAATCATATCCTTTTTCAGCCCCTCAACTTGACTCAATCCTGCTTTTTTCCCCCAGCTCAGTTGGCTCCTTTTCCCTCCTGGGGGGGAGATACGGGCGAATTGAGGACTATCGACGAATCTTGAACCGGAAGGAGTTTGAGAGCCAGGCGGAGCCTCTCCTGGAGGCGGAGCCTGGAAGCAGTTGAGCCAGTTGGTGAGGTTTTGATGGAGTTGAAACGAGAGCTAGTATATGAGAGGAGCTCTATTTGGGCTTCACTGGTAAGCAACTGGAAGCAACCCAACATCATTTAATTAACACATAGTGGAGCTGATGAAGGCCTATGGGTGGAAGTCTTTGCCTTCATCGACTTCGATTTGCTGCACCTTGAAATTCAGACCAACGAGCCTGACCAACTGAGCTCAGCATGGTGCAGCAGTGAAGATCAATCAAAGGTTTGGTGTTTCAACATGGGGATAGGTTTGCTACTGGTATGAAGATGTATGAAGCACCAGTGGCAAGTTTCGGAACCGGTGGCATATAAGTCTTTTCAGGTTCCACAGGTTTCTGTTGATGGTTTTTCCCCTCACTCCAACCGCCCGAATTCCTGGACCCTTTGGACGCCTCGGCACGCTCACCGGCCCTTTCGGAGGCCATTGACGCCCACCTGCTGGCGATCGGCGCCAAGGAGCCCGAGGTCAACCAGGCCATTGGGCGAGCGCGCACTGCGCTGGGGACGTCGCCGGAGCCGGCTGAGCTCTCCGGAGTGAACCGCTCCCGGGGCGACCGCTCCGGAGGTGTCAGGTCCCAGAGTTGGTTGGTGATGTGTCTCTTCCGCATGGAAGGCGTGCCTTGAAAGTTCCGTGCAAGTTTCGATGAACAGATGGACGAGTCTTGTCCCTTCGCATTGTGTTATCTCGCCGGCGGGAAGCTGAGGATGAAAAGCTGAGTGTGAAGCTCAAGCAGCCTTGCAATTCGGGTCCACGGTGGGTGATGTGACCACCATGCATTTCTTTGCCAACGAAACTGGCGTTTCCTACAAACCATCGTCTCATTCATTCGCAACGGGTTGAAGCATCATTGAACAGACGTGGGCCGGTCGGCGCTGTTGGACGACGTTGCCACACCAGTAATTAGACATACGGGTCAGATCGAATTGACAAGAACATGTGTGTCTACTTGCTTCGCGCGGTTTGATGTTTCAATTGTGGTTTTGTTTGAGCTTGGCAGGCAGCCACCGTGCCTTGGAATGCAGATGCTCCATGATACTCCGCCCGGGAGCACCAAAACCCAATCCGATTCTCGAGAAAGGCTGGAGCTGACAAGGTTCCTTCCATCGTCCCCTGAAGCGGATGTAAATGCACAGCATTCACAACCATCGTTTGCCCATCGTTTGCCCATATTGGCACGGCGCCTAGTGTCTAATGGGCCGATCAAGCATTTGAGAGGCAAGCATTTGAGAGAGGCCAGCCGCCCATCACAGCCTACCCAGGGCTGTCCAAAAAAAGCATGTTGCTGTGTCTCTCCAAGGATGGTGATTTGTGGGACTTCCTTAACGATCCTCCGAAGATCTTCGACTTCCTACAGACCTTGCCTGAAGAGTCAGGCGTGGTCACCAACGGCTTCGAAAGAAACGCCGTTCGGCGCGGCCCGTGGGTCCAAGGAGTCCAAGGGGTGGTCTTCATGGGCTGAAAAGCAGTATGTGGTTTCATGAACAAGAGCCCTGGAGGCAATATTGTGACAACAGTGACTTAAGTGTATTTCAATGTTGCATTCCATGTCCTTTTCATGAGTAATTACGTGTGAGGGGTGGGCTATGAGTTAATTACTCGTCTTATAGTCACAACATGCCGCAATACATCTTCACCGTGCTTGACCGTTTGAAACGAGGTTCTTCTGGACGTGCGCGGACGAGGTCAGACGCTTGGAAGCAGACGTGCCCAGGTCGTCCAATGTCACCATGGCGCACAGAACGATGTCACGATGGTTTCAAGGAATACATCGTCTAAAGGAAGCAGTAGGGTCAAAAGAGGGGGTTCATCCTCCTTGAATTCAGTACTGATATGTACTGATTGATTACAATGTTTACAAATTCCACATAGCCCTCTGCTGGGGTGCCCTGAACCAAGGGAGTATCCAAGGGTAGGTCACCAGAAGGAGTCTTGCAGGATAGTAAACCAGAAGACCCAGCATGGCCTCTTTCTGCCATTGTGCCCTTGAGAGCTCAGGAGTGCTCCTCCACTCCGGATTCAGAGATGACGAGGCGCATGTTTTGCTTTTGACCCAGGGTCTCTATTTGGGGCCTTCCAATTTGCACTACGGAAGGGAGCGAAGGGTCAGGATAAAATACCACCGGCACCGCGGTGCCTTTCAGACTGAACCGAACCGTCTCCCAGTCCGGCGCATGGTTTTGCGTCCCGAGGTGCTGTCCCACCTGGATAACCTTGAAGCTTTTTTGGGGGGGGATGGATTTCCCCATGTGTTCATCCCACCCAAAAGCCTACAAAAAGCATCAAAGTATGCGAACAGGTGGAAAGTTCGAGATCTGCTCGTCAACCTCTATTTTCCATGGGAAACTGAGGGAGTCAGATGACCAGGGAAACGGGTTAGTTTTGGGGTGGCAGGTCGATGATGGAAGACAACCAGGACTCCTCCGAGGGAGTCTTGAGCTCTTCGGCCTGCAAGGGACCAGGAGTCCAGGACATGTCTGGATGGGGGTGGGATGGGCAGCAGATGTGGAGTTAGGTCGGTGTAGCCAGGTATCTCAAACATGGACCCGCCAGATGGAAACACCTGACAGAAACACAGTAGATTACTCAGTAGATAAGAGGTATATACATATACTTGCTTCCAAGAGGTATATACTTCATATACTTCCAAGACCTAGCCATGTGGGAAAGATGTTGGGAGAAATGTACCAGCCATGCAGTGCTGCCGCATGAGTTTTTTTGGTTTACCCTCTCTCCACCAAAATATGGAAGTGGACCATAGTCAGTGTACCAATTGTTGGTATCGAAGACTAAATGGCCTTTGCAGGGGCCATGCCATCCACTTCCAGATTCTTGAAGGGAGTGTACTCCACAGCCATGGCAGCCAACTAGCTTGGTCATGCAAGGAGGCTTCAGGAGAACAAGCTTTTGGTGGTCATGAAGGTTGGGCAAGATTTGTGCGATCCAAAACTGCTGAACATCGTCTTAAAGCCCTTGGGCTCAGTGCTGAGATATATAAGTCTTTAAGACACATCCCCCAGATTGAAGACCACATCGTTCGCCTGGTTTCAACGTTTCAGTGCCGTACAGGGCATGGCTTTTTTCCAGCCCGGATGGACGGAAGGCACTTCGGTCCTGCAACCCTTGAGCCACGATGCCTCGACACAGATCCATGAGACACGGATCTCCCCCACACGCCGAATCCGAACCTTCCATGGCTTTCCCCCACGTCGGGCATGCGCGGGGTATTTGGACCAACGCTTCGTGACAAGGCCAAGAGGTGGAGCTGGTGAGAGCCAAGTGGGTGGCCCGCAACTGGCTGGGGGGGCTTGGGAGTGCTTGGGCTGGGGTTCAGGTTATATAAAGGGCCGGTAGAAAGACGCCAATCACTTTGGTTTGAGATACCAGCCTGCATCCAGGTAACCATCATCCACTCATTTAGGCAACCATCACCATCATCCAGGCAACCTATTCGGGCCCTGGTTGATTTTCATCGTCTACTGAGGACTCGCTGCGGCCTCTCAGCTGCCCTCTTGGGCGAGTCAGCAGCCGGGCCCACCTTCGGTCGGGGCGCCCAGTGACTTGCGGCGAAGTGAATCGTGAAGGTCCAGTGGTGCCAAGATGCAAAAGATAACAGTTTTAGACGTTACTCTCTCGCCCTTTTACGTAGAAGCTGAGCAGCATGATTTTTGTATATATATTTATGTAATAATTATATATGTACAAGTTAGTGAAATCCGGAACCTAGACAAACACAAGAATTAGCACTAACGTGGAATGCAACCAGCTTGATCTCAGCAATGTTTGCACTGTCATGTTAGTGCAATATATAAATGTTGTTTTTTAGTGCTAGGAGGCCAAACAGTGACGTAGAAGCGCAGAGTTTGGGCAGAAACAGTGAGGCAAGCGTGTTTACATACATGTTATTACTTGTGCATTTGGTGCTGGACGATAGGTTCAAAGCCGCATGATGGATGTATCCCCACACCAGATGATTCATCACAGTAGCAGTGCAGGGTATCAAAGTTGAAGGACACTAGTGCTGCATGACTCAACATCTACTGTATACAACAGCACTTACGGTACCTGCTTGCGGTTGGAGCAGGAGTACAGGCCTTTTTGGTGGATTCATTTCCCCACTCAATATGAACAGAGAGCTTCCTTCAGCTTCGAAGCTTTCTCGGGACCCTCTGTCGGGGGAACCGGGCCTGACCCAAGCGTTGGATCCGATCCACTTTCCAAGGGCCTGATGTCATGGCCAATGTGGTTTTGCAGATGGCGGCCACTTGGGTCGAAGCAATGTGTGGATAATATCCCTTCTTTTACTTTTAAATAAAGGCTCAGGATGTAGGTGAAACTGACTGGATTCATTTAAGACTTAAAGGAGAGCTGTGCACTTGAAAAATGGCTTCAGCTACTGGGACAAAAGCTGGTGGCTTTAGACACTCTTGGTTTGCGTTACTCCCCTCCAAATTATCATTAGAACCTTCCAAAACCACTCGGTTGTAGAGGAACAGTGGTCTAAAACCACTGGTCTTCCTTCTCAGGTTCCATGGGATCGTTTGCGGGAAGCGATCCGAAAACGAAAGCTGATCCTGCGACCGGAAACGACTCCGAGCTGATGCTGCCCTTTGTGGGGCTCCCGTTGTTTGGAGAAATTTGGAACAAGAAATTCAGTAAGGAAGTATGGAAAGGTAATGAAAGGTATATAATGGTATATATATATATATACAATTATACACATATACATGTTTGCTCATGTTTACTTTGCAAATCGGGTGGTCCAATGGAAGTCCCACCCATTGGACGAATGACGAGGTCGCAAGGGGACAGCCAGGGGACAGCAAGCGAAATCCGAGGGTCTTGGTGTTAGAAGCTTCTGGCGATCTTTATCCCATGACACGGTAGGGAATACACAGGAAGATGAAGAGATTCCAACATATTCTTTGATGATGGATGTTCCATGACCTAGTCCATGACATTCTTCTGATCTTTGTCCGAAATCTCGCAACTGAATCGATCCAGTTGCCCTTAATTAGGCTGAATCCGGTGACCTGACCATCCTTCAGGAAGACTTTGCCGCCCTCCTGGAGATCCGGAGGAGGGGAGCGGGCGCAGCACGTGCGCAGCATGGGCACACCGCAGAACGCCGCATGGTGGGGAATGCGTCTCCAGTGAGCGAAAGCTGCCACTTCAGTGAAACTTTGAGGTTTGGGTCCCTGGTTAGAGTGTATGGCTTGGTTCATGATCCTCATGGTGAAAGCAAAGTTTGCCAGGGATGCCACACAGAATACGGAAGCAAGTTGAACAGAAGAGTGATCGGCGACAACCCAGTTGCCCAAGAAGATTCAACATGATTGAACAGTGAGGCAATGTGAGGCAGCTGGAAAGCTTCCCACAAGTTCACCTGGGAAGGTTCCAGAAAACACCCTGGCAAACGATTTCCTCCACTTAGGAGGTTCAGACATCCGATTGATCAAAATCCTGGAAATCACCTCCATCAATTCTTCGAAAGAGGCTGACGCATTCGAGAAGAATAGTTCAGAAGCTGTCAGAACCAGACTACCCTCAGGTGACCATGGCCCACGGGGCTCACTAGACTCAGGTTGTGGGGCTTCACCCTGATCCCATTGAAAGCCCTCTGGAGTTGCCCCGTTTCTCCTTTCGTTGAGACAAGCCTGGATGGCGCACAAGAGGGATGGCAACCCCGCGGCGGGGTGATCCGTTTCCAATGCTGCATGTTCGAGTAAAGACTTTCTGGGGAGGAGCCGCATCGACCAAAATCATCCAACAAATCATTGTTTACAGCATCTCCCCAACCCAAGTGCCCACTAGCTCACGTTGGTCAGATTGGCCATCTTAACTATTGTTAACTACATATGGCCAACTATGGCCAACCATAACTAGATTGGCCATGTCAACTAGATTGGCCATATATAACCTCCTATGGAGCCCTTATGGCACCAGGACCATCCTCGTCCCCTTGGAGGGCGTTTGCATGCAACTGGGTACCTTGCGCTCGCGGCGGATCCTGCATGCCGCCTTGGCACGGCTGAGTCTCCATGTGGACCAGTTTGTGGAAGCTTGGGTGAACATGATGAACATAGTGAAGTGAAGTGAATCCGTTTCGTGGTCATGATGAACAAAATGTTGACCATGATGAATTGACCTTGACCTGATCCGTGTTTCTTCCTTCCATGGACGAAGTGAGGTGATCTCTCTCTCTCTCTTCCTCTTTAAACTTGCAGTTTTGGCGGGCAGCAGGATGGATTTGGTGTCCCGGGTGAGTTTGTTCACTTCTGACTTGCTGTGGGGTAAAGTTTGTTTGACTCACTTTGGATGTTTTTTACCAATGTTTTGTGCAGCCAAGAAAAATAAGTATAGTAATTATAGCCTAGCCATTAGAATGCCCTGAACAGCTCCCAATAGATTCAATAGATCGAAGACCATGGATTATGTGTAGATCTATATAGACTAGGGATGACTAGTGCCTGGGGCTTGCAAAGAGATGGCTTGTTTAAGTAGCGCGGCATTCCAGGGCCGGGCATTGTGTCAATAAACACCTACCTCGTCCGCCGAGGAGTGCGCACAGCAATTCCATCAGATCTTTGAAGCTCGCTTGTTCGAGAGCCTCAGGTGGCCCTGCGTCAGAGCGGTGAGCCGGTCAACAGCGAGTCGGTTTATGGTTGAAGCTATGAAACGATGCCACACGGACCAAAGCGTGTCATCCCCAGATACTTGGGTTCTTCGCATGTTGAACAGTTGTACTCCTTAAAGTCATGTGAGGTGGATTGACGTTCCTAGATTACTATGTATTTATATATCATATAGATGTCAAGCAGGTAGATAATATATAGATACTACAGCTACATGTTTGACAATATGTTCTTGCAAAACCCTGGATATCAATTGATAATATGTGTCTTTTCTCATATTTATCTATTTACTTTCTGTAGGGAATCACAATTTGGTATAAATATATATCACGAAAGCTAGCGAAGCTAGCTGGAGTTACTCTTGCGATAGCAAGGTTTCTTTCGACCGGGTGCAAATCCTAACCCCTGATTTTTCAGGTCGAAGACCCCCCCCCCCTCCCCTCCTCCCCTCTCCCCTCTCGCCTGTCCCCTCTCTCCTCTCCCCTCTCCCCTCTCCCCTCTCCCCACCCCACCTCCCCTCTCCTCCTCCTTGTCTTCCTCCCACCTTCCCTCCCTCCCTCCTCCCTCTTCGCAAGTTCGACTCCGTCCTGTCGTCGCTCTTTGGCATGCGGTTAGCGTTGCGTATCTTGCGGCCGCACTCGCTCACTCTCACTCTCACTGTCTCACTGTCTCACTGTCTCTCTCATCTCTCTCATCTCTTTCTCATCTCTCTCATCTCTCTCTCTCCTCTCTTTCTCTCTCCTCTCTGTCTCTCGTCTTTCCGTCTCTCTTCTCTCTCTTCTCTCTCTTCTCTCGCAGGAGGATCCGGGCAAAGAGCCACATATAAAGGACTCTTCACCCCTGCCTCCAAAAAGAGCGCCGTGTTTTTTCCTACCTCGCTGCCCTCCACTTTCCCATTCTGGAGCGCTAGCTTTCGCCCCCCCCTTGGCCTCAAGTATATATATATATATTCAAATAAAACTATATATATATATATGTATATCTTTTCTATATTATGGCATTACTCATGTCCATCCAATCAGTCATTTTTCCGCGCCAGGTCCGTGGACTCCAAGCCGGACCCCGCCGCCGCCGCGCGTGCGCCGCGCCCGGCGGTGCAGCGGAGCTACCGGCGCTCCATCCAGCGGCTCGGCGGCCTCCGACGGGAGACGTGGGTGGCATGGAAGACAGACATGGAAGGCATGGAAGATGGATGTTGGTAGTAGTGAAGTGATTAGTGGATATGTTAGTGATGGATATGAAGATGCTGGATGATGTTGGTGTTGCCACTTTTGGGGGATAGGCAGTGGGGAGAGGGAGGATGATGGAAGGATATGGTACGTGGTCGAAGTTCTTGGAAGATGCAGTGGTAGTGGCTCACTCTTTTTGGGGTTGTGTGTGTATAGGCGAAAGGTTGAACATGGTCGAGCCATTTGCAAGCAGAAACGCAAGTTGTTGTTTGGAATACGATGCGAAAGAGGGGAATGGACCTTAGCATCAACAACTTCTCAGACATTTTGAGTCACATGGGGCCTGGGGCCCTTACATCAGTCTTACTGCTTTGGTGTATTGAAACCCTCCCGGAAACAAGGCTGGCAGCAGAGTCCAAACAGAGTCGTCCAACCTGCATTTTCAATATGGGCGGCCCTATGCGGCCCTACTTTTGATAAGCCCAGTCAGCCCCCGCACAACATACAATCAGTTGACTATTCTGACTATTCTATGGTCCACACATGTCCACACCTACTGGCAGCTACTCGAGCACCGAAAGCGCAGCTACTCAAGGCGTGCCTTCGCGCTGCGGCGAGAGATCTTCAAGAAGGTGGGTCCGACAGTCACGGACCAGTTTGGGCTATGGCTTGAGACTTTGCAACCTATGAAAACCAGCGTCGCAATTTCACAGAGTCTCCTGGAAGTGGGGCAAATGTACCCAACCTCACTTCAAACACCAGGTGTTTAGGTTGCTTGCCACACCCTGCAAAAGCATAAATAGGCTTAAAGAAGGAAGACTAAGACTCTGGTGAACCGCTCCCAGCTCAGCTCCGGTGAAGCGCTCCGTTCCACCTTTGTCCTGCCAGGTGCAGCAGTTGGGCGAAACCGTTCCCCTTCAAAGTGCGGAAGACGAGCAGTGCAGCCACCTGGATGAAGAAGAGCTCACGAAGACGTGAGACGTGGGGCGAAGCCGTTCGAAATGGCTCGGTTGATCACCGGGCGAAGCTTGAGTGAATGGATGGGTTCGGTTTCGTGAGGAGGAGCGGCAATTTGGATGTCACCGGTCGCAGGGAGTCTGAAATGAGATGAGTGGCAAGCCACGTGAGAAGGCTCCGGCTCCAAACCGCCGCTGGAGGAGTGGAGAAAACCGGTGAGAACCTGTTGGGGTCCATACCGCAATTCTGCACATCCTGGCAAGCTATCCTTATTTAAGGAGGTTGGAATGACACTCATGCAGCACATGCAGCACTTATGCTCATGCACCGCAAAACCTACGTTTTGTTCGTTGTTTTTTTCATGTGTCTTTTCCATTAAGGGTGTGTTTGTCGGTTTTTCATGGTTTTTCCATTAAGGTTGGTAGAATGAAGCCATGAGTTCAATTTACACCCGTTCAAAGCCGTTGCTTTCGGTTCCTGCCGTTGTTGCACCGACCTGTGCCGCGAAGAAAACCGTCCGCGCACGAGTGCCGGTCGAGCCGGGCTGTGTCGGTGTCGGTCGCATCGAGGCTTTGACAAACTGAAGAGTTCGATGGCTGCAGCTTGGTAGAAAACTTGGGAGGCACCCCCATCAATTGGGTGATGGATGGTGATGGTCAAGACAGTCTCATATTGGAGGTGATCATGTTTTGGGTGATCAAAAGTTGTTTTGAGAGTTCAACTTCTTAGGCAAGAGCACACAGGTGTGAGGCTATATGGAGCGAAGGTTGCGGGAACCCTTTGGAATTGATGTCACCCCTAAATATTAGTCAGGGGAATGTTGCAGTATGTTGCCGATGTCCTGAACCCATGAGCTTTCGGTTTGGCGCTAAATCATCGGACCAAGAACATACATGAGAATAGCTGTGGCTTTCCAGGTCCTTCTGTGCCGTGAGCATTGGGTTGGCAGTCCAGGATGCTGTAAATATGTTGTTTCTTTATCACCTGCCTTTGCAATTTTTTGGCTGGCATACATATCCGTACCCAGGATTATCCAGGATGTGTTTGCTTCGTGGCAAGATGTTTTTGTAAAAGTTCCCGTCGTTTGTTTCTAACTATGGCATGATGTATGTTTCTAACTATGCATGATATTGTTCCAGATGCCACATATAACTACAATATTGTTACTATGTTCTATTGCCCGATGTTGTGATTTCCTGCCGTTGAATAAGCCCAGAAGCGGGGAGCTTGAGCACAAAATGACCCACAGATGCACCAACCTCCCAAGGCCTTGGCGCAAGCGCTGAGCAGTCCTGGTGCTGGAGGCGGCGCATACCTCACAGCCACTTGGCATTGCTTTGGAATGAGTGATCATTGCGAGACAGCACCGGCAGATGTCAAGCGTTTTATGAAGAAACACTAAAGAATATCATATTGCTTCTTGGTTCTTTGTTCTGTTGAACATATGTTTGCATCAAACCGGAAGGATCTGCAGGACCTTTGGAAAAGTTTGGCAGCAGGGTCAGATCCTGTAGGATGTTGCGTAGAATCTCAGGGGGGCTAAGGTAGAGACAAACAGGTCTTTGTTGAGGGGTGGACACTTGCAGAGGCAAGGGTTACAAGAGCTGCTGGGGGCGGATGACGATGATGACTCAAGAAAGATAGAGAGTTGATCGTGATTTTCTTCCAAGGTGAATGTTGGGTGGATGGTTGGGTGGTGTGTGTGTGTGTGTGTGTGTGTCCACCCCTGGGCAAAGGGTTCACCACCGCCACCTCTTTCACTTTTTTGCAACCAACTCTTTTTCGCAGGGGGGCTCGTGGACGCATGGATGGCACGAGCCAACGAAGACCCATCCATGTCGTCGTGATACCAGACCTGATCAGTCTGGCGTACCTGCTTTCAACACACTGACTCCAATGGTCCGCCCTGCCGCTGTTTCGTTGGTTCCATGGTCTTTTTTCACGATACCCTCCCACAAACAGGTTTTTCCACCGCATTTCTCAGCCGATCGTGAGTTGCAGCCAGCCGCCGACCGCAGACTTGCACCTTTGGAAACCATGTTCAACCATACTGTTTCAGCTGACTCTTTCACCTTGCGGTTCTTCGCCATCTTTCCCATCGTGGGAATCGAGATAACTGAATACAATTGTCGAAGTGTGCGACTGTGGCAAGGGTTGACAAATCGTTCCGGAGACTTCAAGGCTTCAGCAGGCACTTTTGGTGGTGGTTTTGGAGCCACAAAGATGTGGGGAGGGGCATGTCCACCATTGTCAACCTCTGTGACAGTTGATTCCTGCATCTCCTATGGATGAAGCACTGAACCAGGCACTCCACGGTTTAAGCTGTGCTAGCAGGAAGGGAAAACACCACACTAGGAACCCAAAAACTGGAGCCCATGGATGAAGCCGTGCCCCCAACAGCTTGTGCTGTTGGACATCTCGAGGGGCCCAAAAGCTTGTTCGTTGGATTAATCGAACCGTTTGAGGATGCTCGCACCTTGGCGCTGGCCGATGCACCACGAGCCGAGACTGCAACCGGTTTGTGCTGGCCCTTTTGTTTCTGGGGTGTCCGAAACGCAACAAGAAGAGAGTTTTCTGGAGTTGTTTTCCTTCAACTACTGGTTGATGTCAAAGTGAGCATACAATGGGGTTCATATTATAATAATCTATAATATATATATATATACAAGTGAAGTTTCTTGATCATTGGCCAGAAGTCGCAGTGACAGTGCCATGACCCTGAGCATTCAGGAGCCTCTTTGAAGTCCAAGCGACAGAGCATGAAGGCCAATTCGGTGCTGGTGGTGGACTAGTCGAAGGCCAGGGGAATCGTCATTGCAAACTGGGCCATCCACGAAGTCAGTAGGATCAGAAATTGGCCATCGAAATGGGGGAAGTTCTGCCGTCATCCTTGTTCTCACCCTGTCTAGATCATGCTTCTCCGAGAAATCAAAGAGGGGTCCAGTGCAAACCACCTGCTTTCCTCGGGACTCGGGTGTCATCAACTTTCGAAGCCTCATTAGACTGCAGGGGCCGTTGGCTGGCCCCAGCGCATTTCGCAGGTGAAAGCCAAGCTCCCTTTTGCTGGTAGCTTACGCCCTCACCATTTGTTTGTCAAATGTCTTTCACTCCCAGAGCTTAGGAAGTTCAATCCTACCAAGAGGTGGTGTTCGGGACCCAAATAGTGGCATCGCCGCAAAGCACCTGGCTGGACCTAGCTGTAGCTCGGCTCGGCCCTGAAGTAGGTGGATGAACTGGATGAACTAAGTGCTGTGCAAGCTGAGAGGCTGTAATTTTGGGACTCTAGGATGGTCTTATACAGTCATGTGACTTCGATATGGTTCCCATCATTTGGCTTCGAGCTTTCCGTTCCGTGGGGACCCCCCTGCGCAGGTCAATGCTACCGTTCCGCAAGACATGGCTGCTGGCAAATGCCACACCGACGGATTGCGATGAAAGGAAAAGCTCTGCAAGCTGCTCCGTGGGGCAAGGATGGGCAAGGCTCTTAGGGTTTGACAGCCCAGTGTGCAGATGGTCCATTACTTCAAGTGATATACCCTCCCCTTCAACAAGCACGAGTGATGAAGTTCTTAAGGAAGACTGTGTTCATTCATCCTTTTCTCATCCATCCACTGATCCACTATCATATTTGATGGATAGCGGATGATGGGCGGTAAAGGTTCAAAACGTTTGGTGTGTCGACGGCCTGTGTGCCTTGGTGAGATGCAATGGAACCTGATCAGGCCTTTTCCACTTCCTTCCTGTGCCCAAGAATGCGAAAGAGTTCAACTTGGTTGGAACCTGATCAGGCCGACAGCCAATTGTCGTTCGATTCTTTTCCGCACATCGGTGCATCTAGAACTTCAGTTGTGCCATAAATGTGGCTCAATGCCAAATCAGGACGTTCGTGTGAGATCCATGCAGCATGGATCGCAGAACAAAACCACAGTTTCTTCACATTCAGTAGTATCAAGGCTCAAGTCAGCCATCTTGAGTGCTCCAAGGAGTCTCCTGTCACTTGGCAACGATGGAGGTCTCCGGGGGGGAACGACCTCCCCAAAGAGGCAAAAGGAAGGCGACCACTTCGGCGAGCGGCGACCAGTTCGGGGGGGATTTGTGGCTGTTCCTTGCGTTTGAACGGAGTAACATGAGTATATAACCGAGTGGGAAAGATGAAGACAGCTTCATGTTTCCAGCAATGTGTCCTGCAGCACAGAGTGACAAGCCATTCGAGCAGCCTTTAGCTTGATCGGACCACGTGCTTGAATACCAAACCTGCAGGATGAGTTAGTCTCGGTCCAATGTTTAATTCATGATTGGGAAGCCTTTACAATTGAGATTCTGCAGGCAGATCGGCGAAATGTCCTTGCTCAGCACAATAGCTTTGAATATTCCCTACCAGGTTTAAGTGCTCCTTTCTCAAACTGAGACACCCACCCGTAAGGTTGTCATTCTGCCCTTAAAAACCTGACTGGCACGCCTTCAACGCCTCTTTGGGTTTTGCCATCAAGCCGTGCCAAGGTCGAATGCCAGGGTACGACTCCAGAGGCCTTTGCCTGTTTTCCTCATTGCAAGGGCTTTGGCCTTGCCTGTCACCCTATCTCAATTCATCTCGAATACGTCCAATGGTCTTATTTTCTCCCTGTGGAAGACAGCAAGAGATCGTTGCCATGTTGGTGAAGGCCTTAATTGCCGCCATCATCATCATCATCGTCGTCATCGTCATCGTCATCCTCATCCTCATCTTCATCATCATCATCATCATCATTCACTGCTTTTGAACTATTAGACTATTATAATTTTAAATATATATATCTATATATATATATCATATACTCATATCACTGACTGATCTGGGCGAGTTGGATGGAGTTGGGCACGGGTTAATGGATGAGGTGAAGTGTCAGGTGAAGAACGGCTCTTGTAAATGGAGGGGGCCTAGGAACTGGTTTCAAACATGTACAATGTTTCTACATTGGCATTGACTTTTGGTCGTACTTTCACCTTCATCAGCAATCCATTGACAGTATTTGCCAGGAGGATAGATGTGGCAGCAGTATCATATGCCACATGCTTGGGACTTTCCCAATCACATTCACATGTTTAATACACAATACTGTTAACCACATCATGGTTCATCTTGTTCCGTAACGTGTACGAAAAGCCCCGTCGGAACTTGGCGCTTTTTCAGGTGTCAAGGATGTCTTCACGGAGCTGGGTGGAATGGCCAACGTCCAATCCGCCCTCTTAAAGAGCCCCAACTTTGCCCCTCGGAATGGTTCATCGTGTTTTTTTCCGGAGGCGTGCGACGTGGGCTCTTTTGGGCGTGCCCAAAAATAGGTGTGGCATCCACTACTTGTGGTTTTAGGCCCTCAGGGGTTGCAATTCATTGCACACGCCAAGGGGTGTTTATATAGTGGACTTGTTGGCAGGAAGTGTGTGCCACATGGCAGGCATGTGTGCACCTCACCAGTCTGACGTGACAATATCTAGTAGACTCGCCGTGGGTCCATTCTCCGAAAAGAGTGTCAGCTCCCCCGCCCTTAGGACTCTATAGCAACAGTTGCTAGTTGCTAGTTGCTTCTTTTTTTGATTGGTGACCTACATGGTGATGGACCGATTCCAGCATCAGCATTTTTGTTGGAAGGAACACTCATAGAAGCATGGAAAACTCCCTGGAGTTGGCAACGGCATTGATTTACTAAGGATTCCACACTACAAAACCATGTCAACCATTTTTTTATACTGTCTTGAACTTGGTGTACGTGCTACAGTGCTATGCTGTGTACGGTACGTCGCGACTTCGCTGCCGGTCAGAGATAAACTATAAACTGTCCTGAACCTTCCAGGGAATATACATCTTCAGAAGGTCCGACCAAAAAGAACCCTCCAGTCGAGGGCTCCGCTCCGCTCACCAGCCTTGGGACCCCTCCTGTCGAACAGCTGGGTCACCAAGCGCTCTTGGATTCAACATCTTGGCTCACATTCCATGGCCTTCGGGAAGACGATGGCCTTTGGGAAGACGATGTTCCTCTCACAAACGGGGTGGGCCATCCACTTCCATGATTTAGTGAGGAGTGTATTACTGTTTGCTTCTGTAGGGCCCAGAGCCTCGGCTGGGGCTGAGGCGCCCTGCCATGGAAGCTTCATGGAAGAGCTGGTCTTGGAGTGTGAGCATAAGACCTGGGACGAAGGAGAGCCTCTTGGTCGGCAAAAAAAGACGGAAGACTCTCAAAGACAGGTGGCATTTGGTTCACACCTAAGGGCATCCAACACGCTAAGGTGTTTCTTTGGAAAGCCTTGTCATGTTGTTGCGTAGTGGCTGCTTACTAATTTTATAAACTGGTTGGGTCATTCTAGTTTCACTGTCCTTTAGATCAGGCCTTTGTTGATCAGCCCCAAACAGCAGCCACAGGATGATCCAGAAGATCAGACCCTCGAAAGAGAAAGGGCTTACTGTACTTATTGTAGGGAGTCACAGGATGATCCAGCAGATGTTTGATTTACAGATCAAAGTGTCAAACCCTATGATTTCTTCTAAGCCTTGTGAGTTACAGGGGTTTTCGTCCATGTTCATCAAGCAGACTTCCTTTCCCCTGGATGTCGTTTTAATTCGCGTTATCATCCACCTTCTCCAAGGAACTTATGGGAGAAAGGAGGCCGCTGCGACATGTGCCTCGGTGCTGGTCGAGTTGCTGGAGACTTGTGAGTTGGCACTATGTGGTCAATACATGTGCTATCAGCTGCTATCATGGACTCATCACCGGGGATTCCGTCCTCCATTCTGAAAATTTCCTCAAGATGTATTCCCCATACTGGTTTTGTTCCATACTGGTTTCAGCATGTTTGAGCAACATCTGGTTTCAGGACACGGATTGAAATAATACAACTAATATCAACTAATATACATACAGGTTAATAAAAGTTACTGTTATGAGTATAAGTACTCGTGGTTCCGCCTTGAGGCTCTTTATCCTTTGGAATGGCAGTGTGGAATTGACCAAAGATGATGGCCTCGTCCTCTACGATTGGCGTCCCATCTCCCTCCTTGGTGCCTGGATCTTCGTGAGCCCCGGCAGAACTTTGGGTCGGTACAGTCGGTTTGGTGGACCAATGGAGGATCCTGAGAACTACTGTCAGAGTTTGTCGGGTGTTTTTTTGGGGGGCTTACATGGAGGTACCACAAAAGGATTAAGGCGATTAAGGGGAAACAGAGCTGATGCAACAAGAACCCCAAGCAAAGTCCAGAGCATGCTCAGCTTGGATGTCGAGCACTTCACCCAGGAGCGTCCACAACCATATGGCTACTGCAAAAGCTGCGAGCCATGTCGATTGCTTGTCAATACCGACTTCCACGTGCCGTGGCAGAAGGTGTTTGGGATGATACTGGAGGTCAGACGCCCAAACGCACCAGTGCTAATGCTTGGGACATACTCGTAGCGTATCGTAACTCCGTAATCAATAAGACCTGGACCGGAAAGGTGGACGGACGCGGACGCGGACGCTGTGTGAAATGTATCCCCTTTTTGGAGCAGATGCTGATACTACTGTACTTAAGTGTGCTTAGCAAGGCAATGCCAAGACATCCCCCCCGAGATTCCAGTGCTTGGAGCCATGTCTTGCTGTGATGACAGCAGGAAATGGCTTTGAAGAGGACTCCACATATCGAAACGGCCGCCACCATGACTTCACTGAAGCAATTCGCTGAGCTAAGCCACCAGTGCTCAGCCACTCCGAACCAAACGGACCACAGATCCGGGACCACGGGACGATCAGCGTCGGACCTCCAACCGTCCGCGCGGAGCCATGGCGACCTTTGATGCTCGGGATTACTTGCAGCAGCTGCCGTCGCATGGCTGTCACCTCCTGGTGACCTTCGAGGCCAAGGACCTGCAGTCGGAGATCACCATGTCCAATGCATCGCTGTGGCGAAGCCCGGTGCGGGGAAGAGCAAACAGCAAACCTGACTGGTGCGACGAAAGCAGGGAATGAGAGTGGCTGGATCCAATAGAATCTCTATTGGGGGCTCATTCCCTTTTTCCCTACTAAGCACCAGTCAGAAACTCAAGTCACTAGAGTCACTAGATCAGGGCAGCCCGGTGTTTCACTTCCTTGCCCCTTCTTGAAATGATCCCCAACAGTTTTTCCGGTTCGACCCACTAGAGTCACTAGATCAGGGCAGCCCTTTGTTTCACTTCCTTTGCCCCCCCCACCAGCCCAAAGCAATCTGTATACAGTATATAATACGTCACCCTGTCTCACCTCTTGTAGGAAACCCATGCGGTGATTTTACAATACATCCTTTCGATTTCTCCTACTACCATGCTCAATTTGCCTACTACCACGCTGAGGAATCCCTGATCTTGATGTGGAGCAGGGCCACTTTCAGCATCAAGGCTTCGAAGGAAGCTTGCGGCTCTTCTTGGAGCGTGTGCGCTTGGAGATTTTGGAGGCCAAGCATCGATACCCCGAACACACCTGGAAGAGCTTCGATGATTTCCTCATCAGCTTGGAACAGGCACCGTTTACGAATATAGATAGAAAATAGAAAACAACATAAATTTAAAACATGTTTAAGATTTGTTTAAGTGCATTCACTTCAACGGACACTAAATTTGGACCTGGACATGGTGAACTAATCATTGTTTGTTTTTGCTTTATGTTGGAGCCCCAGAATGATAGTAAGTTGCTGCGGCTCAAACAGCTGTTGATGCCTGATGCCTGACTTTTCGTGGCCTGAAAGGAGTCCCTGAAACAGGTCCTATCGGGTGATTCTGGAATGCTGACCCTGGAAATCCGAGACCCTTCCGGCCTAAGCCACGTGGATGCAGCACTTGAACCAAAGCAGACCACTTTCGAGCGCAGCGTTCGGGATGATTGGGCCTTGGGAGTGCTTTACCCCCGCCCCACCATTCAGGGCCACACCGCGGCGTCAGTGGCACGTTGGATCCGCAAATCCTCGCGCATCGTGGCGCTCACGGGTGCTGGCATCTCAGTGGAGTCAGGCATCACGCCGTTTCGAAGCTCCGACAAGAAAGGTGAAGCGCTGTGGGCTGAGTTCGACCCCACGCGTATGACGCTGGGACTCTTCAATCGCGATCCCACGGTGCAGGCCGAGTGGTGGCAGTTGGAGCGGAAGTTGATGGGGGAACTGTCGAAGGCAGAGCCGAATGCAGCGCATCAATTCTTTGGAATGCTGGAGCAGCAAGGGAAGCTCCATGGGGTCATCACTCAGAACATTGACTCCTTGCATCAGAAGGGAGGCGTTCCAGACAGCAAGGCGCCCTCAACCAATGGATGTAAGAGTTTCTCCAGGGAATGCTGCACCAATACGTCCAACCTCCCAGAACATCACCTGTAGCAGCTTATAGCGTGTTCCCAAGTCTTTTTCCCATGTCTCCTGTTTGAAAGACAGTGCTGCTAGAGTCTGGGCAAGTGAAGCATGCCGCCGCGAAACGCGTTCTTATGTTTGTTTGCATGTTGTGCGATGTAACCCATAGACTCCATGAATGCCATATATGCCTACATTGACCCCCCAAACCACCCCAACTGATCGGCATATAGCATACATGGAGTCTATGGGTATAATGGTAGGTCTTAGGGACGGAACTGACGCCACAGCACTATACAAACTCGAAATCATTCTTTCACAACCTTTGGAATGAAGTTGGCACAGACATCTGCAACTAAATTCATCCTCCACAAACTTCATCACTCATCCTCCCCCATGTCTTGTCCATGTCTTTCTTCAATCCCTGGCCCTGCAGATGAACGAACTGCATGGCCACCTGCGCCGGGTGATTTGCGCTAACCAACGCAGCCGTCTCAACCCGCAGCCCTGCGGTGATGGCGCTTGCGACTTCGAACCGATCCGCTTCGAGGACGTGGAACCGACGATCTTGCTGCCCACGTGTCCCAAGTGCTCGGCGCCGTTGCGCAGTGAAACGGTGACGTGGATTTGGGGTTTTCAAAAATCGAGAGAGAGGGCCCAGCAAAGGATTCTTACACAGACTCACCTGGAAATTCAACAACATAAATGAATGTTGAATGTCAGCCCCAAAAAAGTTGTGGCCGTGTGTATATTGTATGTGGGGGTCCTTGCCTTCGGGGCTGCGTTTCCTGGCCAGTGCCCCTGCAGGTGATGTTCGAGCAGTCGATGCCCGAGGGCGCGGTGGAGAGCCTTGGGCGCGCTTCGGGAACCTTGGGAAGGTCGGATCGTTTGGTCCCTTCGGAAATGGCACCTGATAAGACTTATATTATTGGAAGAAGATGGCCATGTTTCCCACTGTTTCCTAAGGATTTGTTTACTCTTCTATCATATATACACCCTAGGCCTCCAACAACACATTGGTTTAATGACCTTACAACGGAACAACCATTGTTTTACCAAGGATTCGGCTCGACGCTACAAAACCAGGTCAGCCATTCTTAACAGGGTCTTGGACTTCCAGGGTGCCCGTACACTATCATACACTCCATGTATGGAATATATGCCGCCGCATTGACCCTACATTGACACCCCCCCCTGCACCACCCCTCGCCTGATCGGCAGTCCTATGGCGGCTGATGTTCTCGCTTCGCTGAGGAGCGCTCGTGCAGCGGTCCGTGAGGCTGATTTGCTGATCGTGGTGCCCTGGACACCGGTGAAGCCGAGACGAAGCCCCCGAACCGGTCCATGCGTTGTTAGACACCGAAAAGGGCGAGATGGAAGCTGTCATAAAGCTAGAAGCATTTTCGAGAAATCCATCTTCAATGAAACTGGCAGCGTCATGTTGATGGCCAAGAGATACGGGACAATCCGCCAAACACCGCCAACCGTGACCCACCGGTGCAGTAGGATCGACTCGTTTGTAGGTGCCTAATCCACGGACTCGGACTCCGAACCATCCGTTGGATGCAGTTGGTCAACAGACTGATCCCCATCCTCCCCATGGCGTGGGCGGATCAGGTCGGAAGCACCTTGCGCGTGGCGCCTGCCAACGAGCTGCCAGCGGAGGCCTTGCGCCGTGGGACACCAGTGATTTTGGTGAACTTCGATGAGACACGTGACTTGGCGGAGACCGTGGGTTCTTACCATTCCTAAGCCCGTTCCTCCCGGTTGTTTGATGTTGTGTTGCTGTTTGAGCGTTCTTGGGCCACTCCGAAGAAGCCAGGTAGCGAACAGACCCAAGCATGCCGCCGGAGTATATCCACCACTTGGATGCTAAGCAACAAGTTTGTCTCATATCCCTACAGGCTGTGGTTTGCGGATGTTTGCGGATGCGATGTCTCGAGAACAGCGTCCCAGTACCCTTGTTATTTCTAATTGTGGCCCGTTTATGGGGGGAGATGTCAAGAAGTAAGAGGTTTGTGGTCGGCAGCGGGAAGTCAAACATGGTTCAACCATGGGAAAAAAAGAAGGCGGAAGTGGACATTCACCCCTTTGAAGACGACTTGAGTTGCTTTGCAGCCATAGATCCGCGAACCCAACACTCAATACGCGGCAGTGCGTGCAGCAGAGGCTATGACGAGCAGGTCCACGTCTTGGTGCGTCAACCTGCGGGAGAACTTTTCGCAGAGGTCTCTGCACTACTGCAACGGCCGGAAGAGGAAGATGAGGAGGTTGAGGTCAAGGAGGATGTGCATGAGGTGGTGGCAGAGACCTCCACCCACGCAGGCCAGGCAAAGGTGCTTTAGTAGGGGGGCCGCGGGGGACTCAAAACGAGACAAGATGGGTACCAGGACTAGTGTTGCAGGCTTTTTTTCTTGTTACCCAAGTGGACAACAATGATGGTGAGAAAGGTGAAATCGAATGAACATGAAAGAACGGAAAGAACAAAGCTTTTGAAGTCCATAACCAATATCCTGTGCAAATTTGGTGCTGTTCTCTCGATCGCCCGCCATCATCCAGAGGTGGCAGCGTCTCACCGCTTATATATTGGGGAGCAGGCCCCTCGAAACCACTTACATCCACTTAATGAAATTTTTAAAAAAAGGTGAACACATGTGAACACCCCTTCTTTGAGGGGGCACCTTATTTCGTTCAGGGGGCACCTCTTCACCTCGCCCGTTGGGGTCTCCGAGACACCTTGCCAGGCACCTGGGACGATGGGAGCGAAGAGGAGCAACTCTATGGTGATGACGATGTGGGAGACTAGACACGGCGCACCAGACCCGGCCCACATGTCGCCCAGGCGAAGGACGGTTTTTGGGGTCGCCTTCTTGGCCTCGGACTTGGCGCGGTCCAAGTGGATCGGATGAGAGTGCAAGCGTCGGTGTGAGACCCACTGGGCACCGTGTGATGTACAGTTGTGCAGGTGTGCCCGGGACTTGCACTGAGACTGCAGGCGTGCAGAGAAACGGGGAGGAATATCTTCAGACATGTTGAGTGCATCGTAGGGTCAGAAGTTCAGAATGTTTGTCGAACGTCCGGTTTGGCACGGTCTCTCAGGTTCTTGGCGATTCTGCACCAACATCATATGGAGAAGAAACATTTTGTGGAGAGCCTCGGGCATGTTCAGAGGGGAAGAGTGTGAGGTGTTGTAATGGAAATCTCTATCCTGGAGCCACTGCTAAGAATGAAAATTGCTTTTCAGGCTTGCTCTGACAGATGATGCATAACTGGAGCTCAAGCCCTAGAACTGGAATGAACCGGACACCTCTTGGTTCTATAGTGCTCCTCAAAGGCTCAAGAGGTCAAGACTATTTGCCAGCTTGTTTTCATCAGACGCCACGGACCATCACACCCCCAAACCGAACACCCCCCAAGCCCCTCCAGATCCTCCGCACCCTCCTGCCGTCCGCAGACGTTCGATCGAGGCTTGCTCAGATGGAAGCCTCCGAGCTCCTGTCCGACTCCCGCTGGGTCACCTTGATGCCCAGCCAGCCGGGGGCGCCCGTCATCAAGAGCCCGGCGCCGGGGGGGAGCCCGGCGCCGGGACGCAGCCCGGCGCCCAGCAACAGCCCGGCGCCCAGCGCCGGCCCGGCGGAAGAGAAGAAGGAGCCTTGGATGGGAAATAGATGGTGAGCCAGGTCAGGGAGGTCGGGGGTCCAGAACTCTGTCGGAGGACCCGGGGAGAGGCTCTCTCTCTCTCTCTCTCTCAGCAGATCAAATTTGTGTGTGACGAAGATTGAGGAACAGCATGGAACACCCTCTTTACAGATTCTTCAGCATGACCTGCAACACACGTGTTTATTTTACGGTCTTTTTGTTGGAGGGATGAGATGTATGTTGTCCACTCCGGGTGGGCTCGTGTTTGTAATATATGACTCTTATGATCCCTGGTAAGGATGAAGGCCGTTGGTGAACAACTCCAGGACGTGGTTGGCCACTGGATTGCTACATCTGGTTGCTGACAAAATGTCATGTTTTTGTTACAATGTCTGGAGGATCTTGTGACTTACCCCTAGGGCTCGTGGCCCACCTCCTGAGGTTCGGTGGTTGGGGTGGCTGCCAGGGGGGGTCTAACCACCGAACCTGGGGATCTGGAGCGTTCAGAGCCCTGTCGGGTACCCACAGATCACAACCAGGCCTCCTGGCACCTGTATTCCGTTCGTACCACCTTCCTCCCAACCCTAGGGATACAGGTCACTTGTTTACTTCACAGGTCACGTACTTGCTTGGGAGAAAGGCCGTTTACTTCACACACCGTTTGACCGGACCTCCGGATCCATGCAGTACGGCGTACGGGTGTGGCACCCGTGACAGGTCGGGAAAAACACCACCGGGTGCGAACGACCAGAAACCTTAAGTCATCTAAGTCACTACTCAGAGAAGTTCAAGCTGCAACTAAGTCATCATAAGTTACAAAAACAGTCTCTGAAGTTCTTTGCTTGGTGCTTGCTCCGAGCTCCTCGCTCTCGCTCCCAGCTCGAGGAGAGGTGCAAGAGTCCGGAAGCAGTGGTGCTTTGGCCTAAAAATGCCTGTTTCTTGCATGGCAAGTAGTTTACTTATTGGAAGCTGTTGAAAAACTACTTGTTGAGCTTGTAATGCAAGGAGGATATCTGGAGGTTTGGAAGCTGTTCAAAGTATGGCATTTTAGAGCTCAGACCAGCTCAGAAACGACTTGGAAGCAACATGAAGTAAGTAAACACAATTTTGACATGAATAGTAAGTAATTGCTTCGCATTCTGCCGTTGGTGATGGAGTTGTTGTTTGCCTTTTTTTTCCATAGGTGATCTCTAAGCAAGATCGCTTCCACCGGCGCCATTCTGTGCTTCGACCATGATAGATCCTGTTGAGAGGGGCGGCTGGTGCGATGGATGGGTGAGGGACAAGAAAGACATGACAGTGACTGGCTACCATGAAAGCAGAACGATGCGGAAGAAACATATTAAAACATATTAAAACATCCAAAATACATTCCTGAATTACTGGTTTGTTGGTGTTGTCCGGCAAGGAGTAACATTGATTTGCTCTGCTGGACACCCCCAGGAGATTTCTATAGATTTCTGATGCCCACAGACATATAATATATGTGACATATCCGTGTTATAACCTATCCCCCACGATCGCTGGGCTGTTTTCATTTGACCTACATTCACCACCCCAAACCACCAGTCATGTAGATATTTATATAGATAATGTATAATATAAAATGCAATATGTACAAAACCACCCTGAATCGTTTGGGCCTTGCTTTCACCAGCCCCAGTGCTGGGAGTCAGGCCCCCCCTCTATCCGAGGCACCGTCCATTGACGTGGGCCACCAGATCAGCGACGGGACTGAGCCTTGGAGGAAACGGGAATCGGAGTCCAAGGCAAGGCAGGAGCTGGAGGGTGGAAGGAAGGATTCGTCGATTTACGACTTTACGACCTCAATACAGAGATAAACATGGATCCTGAAAACCTTCTTGTTTACAACAGAAAACCAACAGGCAAAGCGCTTCCAACCATCAATTTGTAGGCTCGATGTTTTTTTTTCAGGAGGGTAAGTAGGGTTGCATTTCCATGGGTTCCACTTTCACCAGCTTAGGGCAGCTTAGGGGTTGCCACCTCGACATCAGCATATGTTTTTTTTGGTTTCTCCCTGTTGATTTGTTGTGCACGATTGTGCCGGATCAATTTGTGGGCAGGTCGGGTCAGGAAGTCAACCGAATCTCGATTTCTCTCGTCCCACCAACGGTTTAAGCCCCCTATATTTCTCGCTGTCAGACAGGAAAGCTATTCCCTTGGGCAGGACTGTGTTGGTAGCTGATCAGGTGCAACACACATGCGAGCTCCCCAGAGGGTTGGATTTGCAGGGCTTCACAGGTGACCCCCTTTGTCAGCTTTGTCATTGTCAGATTTGTGGGCGCGAATCGTGAGTCAATGTTTGAGGAGAGTGTTTCTGGTGCATCCAAGTGGAAGTCAGCCTTCAAAAGGCTCCCAAGCAACTCGGCAGACACGGAGAGGTCCCTCCATCACATCGGAGAGGCGGTCGTTTCGCTCCTGCGATGGATGGAAGAAAGGCCTTGCCACCCCAGTCATCACCAGTCAGCCCTGGGATAGGTGGGCGATCCCTCACAAGCTGGATATAGGAGAACTCGCACGTGAGAATCACGTATGAGAACTACATGGTGCACTCCTGTCGTCCCAGGCTTTCACTCACCGCCCATCGGGTCCAAATCGCCGGTCGCATCGGGTGATATCGGGTGCTTCGGTGCATCGGTGCATCCGGCAGAGTAGTGGGGGCTCGCTGAGGGAGAGTGCTTTGCTCCGAAGTGGAGTCCATGGGTGTGTCAGAGTCGACCGGTTTAAACAAGCACGAACAGTACAGTGGTGGTTGTTCCACTGGTTGGAATCCGTGGTTGAAGGTGAAGGTGGACAGTGCAACATCGTCATCCAGTGGTTTTTTCCACTGGTGTTTTTGCTCCCCTTCTTTGGGGTGGCAACCATTTGGGCGCATCCAGCAGATTAATTAGGAAACGAATGGGCTCAAACTCGACACCCTAAAAAGACCGCGACAAGTAGGAGTATAGAATTTAACGTGGAATGCAGACGTATGTTTATTATTGTATAGATTATATACATATCCCCTGTTTCCTCCTCATCTTGGAATCTATATAGAATAGAATTTCTGATTGCTAAATTTGCTTCAGGGGAACTGGTGTGGTTCACCCTGAGCGGCGGAGTCGGGGGTAAATGTATAAGGCATCGACCCGTTGATGAAAGCGAGCTGCCAGCGGCGCTTGGTGCAACACACAGCCAGCAAACTGCTGAAGATGAAGAAGCAGCGGAAATGCATGGGGCGAAACTTGGCCACACTCACTGGTTAGTGTTTGGGATCCTGGTTAGTTTGTCCAATAGTGTAGTCCTTTGGTTTCAAATTCAGTGCTCCCTTTTGGAGCGAATCATTGTTGCACATCTAGGGCAACAAGATGGATGAGCTGGACAGTTTGTTGCAACAATAATGAAATACATTGACCAACCTCACCAACCTCACTGGAAGATTTGGATGTGGCCCAACTGTTGAAAAAACGGGTGAGGCACATGGAGTTTTAGGAGCGAACCTTCCACAGTCAGGCTGGAACCATGGCCTTCCTGGAGCTGTGACTCCCCTTGGCCACTTCACTTGCGCTCGGACCCCGCAGTTTCTCTGTGCTCCACCCATCTGCCCCGGCCTAAAGCCGCACCGAAGCCGGGCCAAACAACGCTCCGCCTCTCATGGGTCGACGACCTGCGAAGTGCTACCGCTACAACAAGAACAAGCCCTACCCCAAGACCCGCTACTGCCGTGGCGTGCCGGACCCCAAGATCCGCATCTTCGATGTCGGACGCCTGGACGGAGAGAGAGAGGGACGACGGAGAGCCCAAACGGTGTGGCGATTTCCGGGAATCATGAGTAGGAATCTTGGCTTCCATCGTATCAGTTGATGATAATTGCTACGAACTGTGTTTTTTCTTGAATGGTTTTTGCATTGCAACTCGTAAGGGGCATCTCAAGGGACCTTCGTTGCATGAAGGAACAGATTGAAATCAGGTGACTGAGCCCAATGTGTAGTAACAGAGGCACAAGAGCAGGAGCAGATCCAAGGAATCATCATGAATCATCAAGTTCTTTGGCCTTTCAGTTGCCATATCAAATGATTGAATTGGTTGGTTGTTGGAGATGTTGGGTTGTTTCCGCACACAGGGCTTCGTCTGTGTGGGGAACGCAAGTGCGAACCCTTCGCGGTTTGAACGAACTACTTCCCGGTGGTTTTCTTCAATGAACGCCGCAGAGCCGGGCCCTTGGCCGCTTAGGAAAGAAGAAGATGCCTTGCGATGAGTTCCCAGCGGCAGCGCATTTGGTTTGCGATGAGGATCAGCAGTGCTTTGGTTCCACAAAGAAAGAGAAGTAGAGAGAGAGAGAGAGTGCGCGAACGGCAAATCAGGGGGTTCCAGAGCTTTGACCCAAGAGGAGGTTTGTCTTCCAGTTTAGTTTGCATTCTAAGCAATGGCGCTATCACTGGAAGACAGACCTGGTAGTAAGCAGGTCATGCCTATTGCTTCGTTAATTGCCCGCACTAGAAGTGCTTGAATCATGTACGAATCATTTCAATATCCATCAAGGAGCCACGGATTTTAATCCGAAGCAGACATCGTGCTTGACTGAGAGCGGCTCCGAGGCTGACCTCGGAGGCACTTGAGGCGGCCCGTATCGCGGTGAACAAGCAGCTCGGAGGGTGATGAGACCGATGAAGAGACCACATCTGATCATCAAGTTTGTTACTTGCAATTGGATCATGTGATGCAAATATTATGAGGCTTGATGAGGGTTGGGTTGTTGATTCCAGGTCACAATACAAATGGATCTCAGACCCGGTATATAATTCTGCACCTGGAGCCCACCAATCTCACTGCAACTGGTTTTGACATCCCAGCAAAGCCGTTTCGCACCTGCTAAGCTCCGACCGGCCCCCTCAGGTACATGGTGACCAATGCTGGCAAGGATTTCTTCCACATTCGCATCCGCCCTCATCCCTTCAACGTCCTGCGTATCAACAAGACCTTGCGCCTTGGCGATCGGGGTGACCGACATCCGTCATGCTCCACTTTCATGTTGGAGTCACAAACTGATGGAGATGCATTCCAAACCCAAGAGTCTCTCAAGATGAGGATGCAAAGTCCTTCAAGGCCATTATCCCAGGAACATCCGAAGCTTGCCCCGGATCGACGTCACCGTCGCTTGCCGCACACGCGCTCGCTGCCCAGGTCCTGCGCCGGTGCGGACCGCCTCTCGAGCGGCATGCGCGGCGCCTTCGGCAAGCCCTACGGCACCGCCGCGCGCGTGGACATCGGACAGGTCCGAAGGGACGAGCCGCGCCGCGCCGCTGGGGCGCGCCGGGTGTATGGCGCCGTGTGGGAGTGAGTGGTCGTCGGGGATGGAGAAGACGGCCTTTGGGGGATGAAAAAGGATCAACCAGTCATGCCAAGACACGCTGAGTGTTTTTGAGATATGCACTGCAGCTTTTGCAAATGTCATGCCAAGACCATCATGGACACACAGCGCAGCACAGTGTAACATAGTGTAACAGGGCCTGATAGAGCTGCGCGTGTTTTCGTTGTCTTTGCTGCTTGGGCTGATGCCGCACCGAAACACCCGTCCTCCAGGTGTTGATCTCCCTGCGCACCAAGGACTGGAGATCTCGGGAGCGGAAGCGAAGGGAGAAAAAAGAGTGTCAGTGGTTTTTGTTTGTTTTTGGCTTTGGTCAGATTGGAACAAACAAGGTACATCAATAGAATAGCCATTATTATTGCATGTTTGATGTTGAAAGAAATTGTATATACACGACATTATATGTTACGTATAACATCAACCATGTGTTGCACCATTTGGTTCAATATTGGAGACGTTGTTTGGACTCTGGACGTCGTGAAAACAACGGGGGCAGGATGCATGACTAAGCTTATAGCTAAGCTTATAGCAAGTTCCATAAGTGCACAATGTGATGTGGCACATGTGACACATATGGTCACTTGGTTCCATGGCTGGCGCATGGTTCCCATGTGACCTAAGACGGCCCCAAGAGGAGTTCCAAGGTGCCCGAACGGGCGATTGGCTGACGCCGGTGGAACAGGCTGATTGGTGTTTGATGACACATGGTGATGTGAGCACTGTGAGTGGTGAACTCAACCCCCCCCAATTCTGATAGGACAGCAGAAGGTAGTGCAAACTCTTGATTTTAACCAAGAAGAGGTTCTACAATCCACATCGGTGGGTATTTTGATCCAGATTCTACATGACTCATCCGGGAAGATTCACATGGAATCTGAAAGTGGACCTTTGGAAGACTATTGTCCTCTACGACCCGACGTGGTTTTCAGGTTCCATGTGGGCCTCTTCCAGGGTGTAAGGACCTGCGTTTCCACGGACCACAGGAGGAGAAGATCCAGTTTGCCGTGGAGGCACTGCGTCGCGCCAGCGCCAAGTTCGCCGGACGGCAGCGACTGGGCGGACGTTGCGAGGCGTTGAGAGCTTTGAGAGGGTGGGGGGGGAGTGGCAGCTGGTGGCAATCCACCCGTACTGAGTGTTAATTGTTAATGACAGTGGTAGTGGTTGGAGACAGAAGGGAAAGAGTCCTGGGTAGGTTGGCCAGCCAAGTGAGAAGGGCAAGTTCTTCCCAGATCTGCAGGGTGCAGGATGACTCTCCAAATCAACACATCCTACTGTACTGCTGATGGAGGCACTTCGACCCTGCTTGTCATCCCATGTCCCGTGTCACGATCTTCATCTCTTGTTTGTGTTCAAAACCGAGGAAGGTGCACGTCTCGAACAAGTTTGGCTTCACCAAGTATACCAAGAAGGACTCCGTTTGTCGATGCAGTCGCTCCCCATGGTCATAAGGAGCAAACTGTTTTGGATATTGGATGGTCGGATGATCTTGGACAAGTATATTCAAGTACCGAAGGAGAGGCATGCTTGTGAAACTGCCCAGGTGTACCTGTCACATTCTTTCGACATCTTTCAACAGTTCATGGCGTTGTAGTTTGATGATGTTTGGGCGTCCGTGATTGAAGCATCGGCGGATAGATGACAGTTGCATCCTGGGCGAAGGAAGGCATGAAGAAAGTGTCATTCAGCCTTCTTGTGGAAGATATAGACAGTAGTTGCAAGAAGTAGATGGCACATACTTTTTT